TGAGATCGACGCCTCGAGGCCGTCGGCGACTTCCTGCTCTCGCGCGAGCAGATGGAGGCGAACGAGTACCCGCTGCCGTCGCCGGCGCCGCGCGCCGTCGCCGCGGGCGTGTTCGCCGCGGACACGGCAGAAACCGGCGACGACGGCGAGGACCTCGGCGCGCCCGCGGACGCGGTCCCCGAAACCGACGCGTGGGCGCTCCCGGCGGCCGCCGCGGCCATCTCCGAGGCGTGCCGCCGCGGCGGCGAGGGCTGGGCCGAGACCGTCGCCGTCGAGGGCGCGGAAGTCAAGCCCCCGCGGGTCTTCGGCCTCGACTGCGAGATGGTGAAGACGACGCGGGGCTCCGAGTGCGCGCGGTGCACCGTCGTCGACGGAGCGACGGGCGCCACAGTCCTCGACGAGCTCGTCGCGCCCGGCGCGCCCGTCGTCGACTACTGCACGCAGTGGAGCGGCATCGACGCCAAGACATTAAAGCACGTCGCGACGACGCTCGACGACGTCCGCGGCGCTTTACTTCGCGAGGTCCGGCCCACGGACGTGCTCGTCGGCCACGGCCTCGACAACGACCTCCGGTGCCTGCGCCTCGCGCACGGCGCCTGCGCGGACACGGCGCTCCTCTTCGGCCACCCGCGGGGGCCGGGCTACAAGCGGTCCCTGAAGCACCTCTGCAAGGAGTTCCTGGGCCGCGACGTCCAGTCGGGCGCGCACGACTCCGCCGAGGACGCGACGGGCGCGCTGGACCTCTTCCGCCTCAAGCTCGACCGGGGCATCGACTTCGGCGCGCGCGGCGCGGGCCTCGCGAAGCGGTCGTCCCTCGAGCGCCTCGCGGCGGGCGGCTGCCGCGTCGCCGTCGCCGCGGCCGGCGGCGACGCGCTGCGCAAGCTCGCGCGCGGCGCCGTCGCCGCCGTCGCCCCGGGCAAGAAGGAGACGGTCCTCGCCTGCGTCGAGAAGCAGCTCGCCGCGGGCTGGCACCTCCTCGTGGGCCACGTCGACGTCGCGGGCCGCGCCGACGGCGCCGCGGTCGCGGACGCCGCCGCGAAGCGGCTCGCGGCGAAGCTGCCCGCGGACGCGCTCCTCGTCGTCGTGTCGCAGCCGGACCTCGCGGAGGTGGACCGCCTCGACCAGCGCCGCAAGGCGGCGACGGACCACCGCGCCTCCGCGGTGTGGACCGACGCGCAGGAGGCGGAGCTCCAGGCCGCGCTCAACGCCGCGGCCTTTGGGACCGCGTGGGTCGTCGGGCCGCCGGGCGCGCCGCCTTAATTACAGCCCCCGTTCCTGGCAAGTGTAGCCACGATCCCGTGCCGAGGGTAACATGGGCTAACCTTGCCAGGGTGCGTGGGAGGAAGGGCTGCGCTCGCGCTCTGCGAGGCAGTCCTCGAGGTCGACGACCTCGAGCGGACGTACGCGTCGCTGCTGCGGCGGCGATCGCTCAGGCAACACTCGATCGAGTCAGGTAAAAAGCAGAACCTCGACGACGTACGGCCAACCGACCAGATATGCTTCGACAGCAGCGGCTCGAACGCTTGGCTCGCGCCGCCGCAGAGGTAGGGGCATTGCTCTCGACGGACGACGACCCGAACGACCCGCTCCCCGACGAGAGCCGACGAATCCTCCAAGACGCGCTAGAAGCGCTCCAGGAGGCGCGCGACCTCACCGAGGCCTCCGCCCCGAAGCGGTCCAAGAATTCGCCGCGCTGGTTCCGGGGCGATGTGCTGCGGCTCGTGTTGTCCTTTGCGGGCGCGTCGAGCCTCGCGCGCGTCGCCGCGGCGAGCCGGGCCGCCGCGGCCGCCGCGGCCGGCGCCTGGGCGGACCTCCTGCGGCGGGAGGCGCCGAGCGTCCACGCCGTGGTGGGATCGTCGAGCGCACCGATCATGCGACGCTTCTACCTCAAGATCGTGAGATCCGGCCCCGCGACGCCGCCGCGGCCCCCGCGCATCCACGGCTGCGTCGAGTTCCTCGTCGACGGCGTCGTCAAAGCGTCGAGCACGGCGCCATTCGGGGATGCGGGGTCGCGGGGCTGCTCCATGCACGTCTTCGACCCGCCTGTGGCATTCCGGACGAAGTCCGACCGCATCGGCGGCAACGTGGCCTACGGCGGCGACATGCGGGCCATCAACCAGGACTTCGAAGTGCGGGCCGTCGCGGTCGCGGACAAGTACGCCTGCTCCTGGACGGGGCATACAGACGAGCGCCTTCAGTGGCTGATGATCAACCCGGTCGCTCACCGCCACCAGCCCTACTTTCACTCCATACTCGCGGTGCTCGAGACGCACGTGCCCCTCGACGAGGACTGTAGCGTGTGCGCCATCGATCGGTCGCTCTGCGACGCGCCGAGCGGCGAGGGGCGCCGCAGCGATCTGACGACGGTGTTTATGATGCGCAAGGACCGGTCCAAGACCGACCAGCACGTCTTCGAGCTCCACGCGGTGCTCCTGGCGCGGACGTCCTGGGACTACAGCGACGACACGGGCGGCCTCTTCTCCTACGGAGACCCCGACCCGATGAACAATGAAGCGTGGGCGGACGCGTTCTGGCGGGAGTCGTGGCGGCCGAACGCGCGCGGCGACCCCGCGCTCCCCTGGAAGCGCATCGACGGCTGGTAAGATACCCTCGGTCTGTTTTAGGAGGAGGGCGACGGCGCGCGCGACTCACTCCGCGACCTCGCCCGCGTCGGCCATGGCCGCGTCCTCCGCCGCGGGCGCGGCCGCCGCCGGGACCTCCGGCGCGGCGTTGGCCTCGTTCTCCTCGGCGAGCCAGGCGGCGGGCAGGTCCGTCTCGAGCTCCGCGCCCGCGTGGAGGTGGAGGTACTTGGAGAGCCGCTTCGAGAAGTCGGGGCCCGCGCGCGCGGCGCCCTCCGTCGCCGCCGCGAGGAGCCAGGGCGGCGAGTCGAGCGGCAGCTCCTCGCAGCCCCAGGTCGTCACCTTCGTGGAACCCTCGTCGACGGGCTCGAGGAGCCAGCAGTGGACGACGGCCGCGGACCGGCCGTACGCCGCGTGCTCGGGCACCAAGGCGGACGTCACCGTGAAGCGGAGCCGCAGCCAGGCGTCCTTGGCGGCGCCGAGGGCCGGCGGCGCGCGGCGCCAGGCGACGATGCAGGCGCGGTCGTGGGGCGGCAGGAAGGGCGCCGCGACCGCGCCGCGCTCGTGGACGAGCGCCGTCCGCGCGTCGTAGCGGTAGACGACGTGCGCCGCGCACGTGAGCTTGTCGGCGTGGAGCGACGGGTGGGGCGGGTCCGCGAGGACGCGCGCGAGCACGCCTAAGCCCCGGGGCACGACGAGCTGGCTGAAGGCCAACGGCGCGTCGCCGTCCGCGTACGCGCGGGATCCGCCGGACCGCGGCATTGCGGCGAACTTGGCCGCGTCGGCGCCGTGCCACGTCGCGTCCTCGGTCACGGGCGTCTCGACGACGTTCTCCCAGGCGCGGAGCTCGCGCACGTTGGGCATGCAGCGCACGGCCTCCTTGATCTTCTTCTTGATGAACCGCTTCACGTGGAGCGCGTCCGACGGCAGCGGCGGGCTCTTGCGGAGCTTGGCCTCGTTGGCGACGCGCTCGCGCTCCTCGCGCTCCTGGGCCGCGGCGGCGGCCTTGGCCTGGGCGTCGTTCTCCGTGACCTGCTTCCAGGGGTCCGCGAAGGTCTCCGTGTCCATCATCGACTTCTCGAGCTCGGACACGGCCGTGCCGTCGTAGGTGACGCCGCTCGCGGCCTCGCCGGGGAGGTACTTGCGGAGCACGCCCATCATGTAGCCGCCCTTGTTCCGGATGTTGGAGTTGGGGTCCTCCATGGCCTCGCGGAACTCGTGGAGCGCGGCCATCGCGTGCTTCGGGTTCAGCCGGAGGATCGTCTTGATGTGGCGCGTGTCGATGTGGCCGTGGCAGCCGGGGATGGCGAGGATGGCCTGGCGGTAGGACTCGGGCAGCGGCTCGAGGATGGGCAGGATCTCGTCGATCTCTTCTTGGGTGGCGGGCTTGGGCGCGACGCGCTGGCGCTCGTCGCGCGTCATCCCAAAGCCCAGGCTCTTCTGGCGCGCGTTGTACTCGGCGATGGTCGTCACGCCGGCCTCGCGGAAGAGCTGGGCCATGCGGTCGCCGTCCTGCGACGGCGCCATGATCTTCGCGCCCGCTGGCAAGGACGCGCCGGAGACCGCGAGCGCCGCGGGCACGGCTAAATCCTCGCCGATGGCCAGGCCACTCGACGGGTCGATGCCGCTGTGGCTGAAGCGGCACTGGTCGCCGCGCACGCAGCGGCCGTTCATGAAGTCGCGGCAGACGTCGCCGAGCGTGTTCCGCGTCGGCTGGCGCTGGATCATCGGCCGCGGCGGGCCCCGGTCGTCGCGCGGCGGGCCGCCGCGGTCGTCGTAGCGGGGCGGGCCCCGGTCGTCGCGGGGCGGCGGGCCCCGGTAGTCGTCGCGGTTCCCGCTGTAGGGGTCCGGCCGCCCGTAGTTGGGCCGGAAGCTCGGCTCGGGCGTCCGCGACCGCCGGCCGCCGCCGCGGCGGCCGCGGCTCCGCGACCGCGACCGCCGCCGCCCGCGGCTCCGCGACCGCCGCTCGCGCCGCCGGTCCCGGCTCCGCGACCGCGACCGCCGCTCCCGCCGCTTCCGGTCGCGGGACCGCGACCGCGACCGCTTCTTGTCGCGCTTGCGGTCGCCGCGCTCGTCGCCGCCGTTCGAGTGCTTGCGCTCGCGCTTCGGCGCCTCCGCGCCGTTCGGCGCCTCCTCGCCCATCGTGGGTGCTGCGGCGCGCGGTTTTTGTGCCGCGGGGTGTGCCGCGCGCGCGATCCGCAGCGACGACGGCCTCGGCGACGCGCTCGATCGGCGCTCGACTCTAGAGCTCGCGACTTCAGGAGCTCGGCGCCGAGCGGCGCGCGGCTCGGCCCTTGCCACAGGCCGCGTCGTCCGGTGTCGGCGCCGACCAGCGCCGCCGGAGCGCCGCCAGAGAGCGCCGCAGAAGCACCACAGCTCTCCGATATGAGCCGCACCTACAGCGAGCTCGACGACAAGGGCGCGCTGCGGCGGCGCGCGGCGGAACTGGGCGCCCGCCAACACTCATCCTCGTCGCGCGTGGCGCTGGCCACGAGCGTCTCCGGCACGGACGCGCGGCGGCGCCTGAGCCGCTGCTACGCGGCGCTCGCCGGGCGGCCCAAGGCGCCGGACTGGGCGGCCATCAAGCGGCTCGCGCGCTTCGCGGAGACGGCCGCGAACGCCGCGCAGCCGTCGCCCGGCGGCGAGTCGCCGGACGCGCTCCGCCGCGAGTCGGCCTTCGTCAAGGCGCACGTCGTCCTCTGCGAGGCGCTCTACCGGTGCGACCTCGGCCGCACGGTGGCGGCGCTCTGCGCCTGCGCGGCCGCGCGGGGCGCGCTCGTCAACGGCGGCGAGGCCGGGCCGTCGTCGTCGTCCGCGCTCGGCCACGCGCGCGACTTCGCGCGGCGCGCCTACGAGGCGAACCTGAACAAGATCCCCGTGCTCTTCGACGTCGACGCCTGCGGCGCGGCGCTCTCCGGCGGCGACGGCGACGGCGCGGGCGACGCGCTCGCGCGCGCGCTCGGCGATCTGGAGCGCGCGGCGGCGGCCGAGGTCGAGGAGCCCGCGGACGACCACGACGCCGCCGCCGGCGACAAGCCCGTGGGCGTGCGCACGCCGACGCCGCGGCGCGCCGCGCCCGCCGCGGCGCCCGCGGGGCCGCGCGCGGCGCTGAAGACGGCGGCGGATTTTTTGGAGTGGCTCGACGCGCGCCGCGAGTCCGGCGGCGTCCTGGTCGTGCTGCTGGGCCGCGCGCGGCCGGCGCTCCTCTTCGCGCGCGCGTCCCGCGAGTTCCGCGGCGCGCCGGCGCCGCGGCCCTGGAGCGCCAAGTCGCCGCACGACGCCTTCGGCGAGACGGGCGACGAGCCGGTCTTTCGCGCGCTCGCGGCGCGGCCCAAGCAGCCCGAGCGCCTGACGCTCGGCGACGTCCACGCGGCCTTCGCCGTCCACGCGGCGGCCGTCGCGGCGAAGCTCGGGGCGTCGGAGCCCGGCGACGGCGCGGTGCGATGGACGACGGCGACGGGCGGACGCGAGGCGACGTACTTCGCGGCCAAGGGCTGCGCGTCCATCGCCGTGGCGTGCGTCGTACTGGAGGCGCCGGCGCCCGTCGCGCCGGGCCCCCGCGGCGCGCGCGCGCGCGACCGCGGCCAGGCGTCGCGCGACGCGGCGTGCGCGTCCTTCGCGACGCGATTCGCGCGGCCTTTCCGCGACGCGACCGCGGGCACGCACGTGCCGCCGTCCCTGTCCCAGTACGTCGGCGACGCGCCGGGGCCGCCGACCCGGAGCGGCTCCCGGGCGGCGTCGGCGCCCGCCGACGCGGGGCCGTCCGCGCGCGACGTCTCCCGCTGCGACGCGGGGCCGCGGCGCTGGCTCTGCTGCAGCTTTCCCACCTAAGTTGCTTGTCGTTTTACATCCGAAGTCGCTTTACATCCGAAGTAGTTTATTTCCGAAGTCGCTTTACAGCCGCGTGCGCGGGTCGCTCGCGAGGCACGCGCGGGCGTCGCCGTCGCAGAGGACGTCGGCCTTCAAGCCGACGCCGTTGAGGTCGGCGCCGTCGGGCGTGAGGTAGGACGCGCGGCTGACGAGCACGGAGCCGCCGCCCGGGAGGTCGAGCGCGCGCTGGATGCGCGCTTTGCCGTAGGTCCGGGCGCCGCCGACGAGGACCGCCCGCTTCCGCGCTTGGAGCGCGCCCGCGAGGAGCTCCGCGGCCTGTGTGGAAATCAACCAGTGAGCTGGGACGTCGGGGCCAAACTTGAGAATTCTCTAGCTCGGTCAAATCGAAGTCGATTCGGCTGATTTTTGGACGAATCGATTGCTCTCGTCGAGTTCTCGAAGCATAGCAAAATAGTCTGGTCCAAACCGTTCGATTACGGGTTGAAGATTTGATTTCCACACAGTCCGCGGCGGACGCGGTCCCCCGGTCGACGAGCACGGCGAGCGGCTCCGAGTAGCGCGGCGGCCCCCGCGGCGCGACGCGGGCCTCCGTCGCCGCGCGCGTCTTCACCGTCGCGACCAAGGCCGAGCCGCCCAGGAACAGCGCCGCGGCGTCGAGCGCGCCGTCGACGTTGCCGCCGCCGTCGCCCCGCAGGTCCAGCGCGAACCGCGCCGCGCCACGGCGCCGCGCGGCCTCCAGCGCGGCGTCGAGGCCGGTGGCTGTCGCGCCGGAGATGCCTCGGACGGCGACGATCGCGTAGCCCCCCTCGTCGACGGACAGGAGCTCGACCTCGGGCGCCGCGGCGACGAGCGCGCGCTCGAGCGTCGCCGTCGCGGCCTTGCCGTCGCGCAAAAAGGCGACGGAGACGCGCGTGCCCGGCGCGCCCCGGAGGGCCGCGGCGGCGGCCGCGGCGGTGGCGATCTTGACGTCGTCGACGGCGACGAGCGCGTCGCCCGCGCGGAGCGGCGACCGGCTCGCCGGCGACGCCGGCAGCACCTCCGCGACGACGGCGTCCTCGGCGGCGAGGCGCAGGCCGACGCCGCCCGTCGCCGCCGCGCCGGACGCCGCCGTGGACCGCAGCGCCGCCGCGAGCTGCGGCGGCAGGAACCGCGTGTAGGGATCGCCCGTGGCTTTGCACAACTCCGCGACGATCGCGGGACCCGCGGCGGCGCCGTCCGCGTCGAGCGCGCGCTCCCGCGCCGCGGCGACGGCCGCGCGCCAGGCCCCGGATTTCATGAGGGATGCGTCGTAGAACTCGCGCTCGATGGCCGCGGCGACGTCGTCGACGAGCTCCAGCGGCGACGACCCGTCGTAGATCTCGGCGCGCGCCGCGCGCGGGCGCAATAAAAGTGGTACCACGCAGCGCTGGCCGACGCTGCGGCGCGTGAGCGACGCTGCCGACGCTGCGGCTGCGAGTGCGAGCAGCAGCGCTGCGCGACCGTGCGGTCGATGTGCTGGCACCATCATTGAGCACTCTGCAACACCATCATCGAGTCTCACCAGTCGAGCACTTCTGCAACACCATTGCAACTCGAGCTTCAAGCACCTGTATTTCCCCCGTATCACCACCGTATTCCCCAGCGCAAACGCCAGCGAGTCAGCTTAAGGAGCCTGGTCGATCAAAACCCCGGCCCGCCCGTGCTCCCAAAGGGCACGAAGCCCTGGGTGTGCGCGAAGGGCGAGCCGCCGGTCGTGTCCGGGGGCTCGGCCATGGTCTTGATGAGCTGGGTCCGCCACAGGTTCTCGCCCGGCTTGATCTTGCCCGAGTCGTTGAGCGCGGCGATCCAGTCGTTGTTGACGTTCGTCACCGCGAGGTCGCCGCCTTTCGGGAACCGCGCGGATATCTGCTGCGCCTCCGCGGGGCTCACCTTGGGCAGGTGCCAGTGCTTCTCCTGCACGAGCGCCAGCTGGCCGCCGCCGGGCCGCGTCGCGTGCTGCTGGCGCTGCGTCAGCGAGAGCGCGTTCTTGCCCGCGAGCCGGAGCTTGAGCCGGCCGTCGGGGTGCCGGCCCTCGACGCGGTCCATGTAGGTGCCGTCGCGCGTGGAGCCGGGCCGCCCGCACTGGACGCGCGCGCCGTTGGAGCAGACGACGGCGTTGTCGTAGCGGCCCTCGAAGAGGAGGCTCAGCTGGCCGCAGAGCCGGAGCGAGAAGGGCCTCCGCGGGCCGTGCGGCGGCTTCCGCCAGAGCCACTCCTCGACGATGTCGCGGTCGTCGTCGCAGATGCTCCCGCCGAGGTCCGTGAGCGTCAGCGCCACGTTGCCGCTGGGAAAGCTCGCGTAGCCGTTGCCCTTCTTGTCGAAGGTCGCGCAGATGCGCCCGTTCTCGTCGAAGAACATCTTGCCGTAGGGCGTGATGGTCACGCAGCTGGGAAGCTTCTCGTCCATGTTCGTGGTCATGCTGTCCGTTTTACAGGGGGCGCGCCCAAGCCAGGGCCGCCGCTCCCCGCCGCGCCGGACGACGCAACAGGCGAGGGCTGCTGCTGCCCAGTGTTGATTGGGTGGATTTGAGTGAATGGTTGTTTGAGGAGGCATTGCACTTCTCGAGCTGCGCCTCGCCGCGGCCCGCGGTCCTGCGCCCGGCGCGCCTTGGGCACGCTCGCACACCGATTTTAAAAAACAGCAGAGCGTATCGCCGCGCCGCTATGGACGACGACGACGTCTGCGTCATCTGCGGCGTCGACCCGAGCAAGAAGGCGTCGAACCTGACGCGGCGCACGCTCCAGACGAACGTGTCGCGCGAGGTGCGCTGCGGCCACCGCTTCTGCAACGCCTGCGTCGAGCGCCACATCGCGAAGAAGAGCCAGTTCCCCTGCCCCGTCGCGGGCTGCGGCGCGGCCGTCCGGAAGGCGCAGCTCGACGCGCGGACGCTCGAGGACATCGAGGTCGAGCGCGACGCGACGCACCGGAAGCGCGTGCTCGCCGTCTTCAACGCGACGCCCGAGAGCTTCGCGACGCCGCGGGCCTACGACGACTACCTGGAAGAGGTCGAGGACGCGATCTACGCGCTCACGCGCGGCGGCGCGGCCGCCGAGGCGGCCGAGAAGAAGCTGAGCGCGCACGCGGCGGCGAACGCCGACGGCGTCGCCGCGCGGGCCGCGGCGAAGATCGAGCAGGACCGGCTCGCGGCGGCGGAGATCGACGACGATCGGGCCGCGGCGGACGCGGCCGCCGCGAAGCTCCGGAGCAAGCGGCGGCTCGACAAGCAGGCGAAGAGCGACGAGGAGAAGCACGCGCTCGCCTACGCCCTCGGCGACCGCGCCGACGCGCCCGTGCGCCGGCCGCGGCGCCACGTCTCCGCCGCCGTGCTCCCCGCGCCGATCGGGCGGCCCGCGAACCCGCGCCACGTGACCGGAGACGCGCTCGCGAGGCGCCGCAAAGCCGGCGGCTGGACGGCCGATTTGTTCAAGAAGCGCGCGCGCGACGAGCTTCTGGCCGGCTGCGACGCGTCGGGCCTGAAGCGCAAGCGGCCGCCCTACGCGCACCCGAGCGGCCTCCTCTTCGGCCAGCGGACGGCCCCGGCCGCGCACAAGCGGGCGAAGATCGTTAAGGCCGAGACTTAGTTTCTGAATACCGTGATGCGTCTTTGGATGGGGTCTCGGCAAGTAGGGCAACTCTCGAGCGGGGCCGCGCAGGCTTCGCAGGTAGAAAGATGGCGGCACGGTAGGAAGCAGACCGCGGCGTCGGCTTCCATGCACACGCAGCACTCGTTGCGCTCCGCAAGGTCGTCCGCGCGGCGGCGCTCTGCGTCGCGCTGGGTCGTGAGCTCGGTCTTGATCTCCTTGGCAGAGGTGGTCGCCTCGGCCGCGAGGGCGAGGCCGGAGCGCGGCGGCGGTTCGTCGGCGGCGCGCTCCGTCCGGGCGCGCTTCGGCGCGGGCTCGTAGGTGGTCTCGCCGCTATCGACGTCGATGACCTCGCGGTTGAGCTGCGACCGAGCAGTGGCGAGCGCCTCGGCGGTAGATTTGAGCAGATGCGGCAGGAGCGATGTGCCGTGCCGGTTGTGAAATCGGTGGATCTGAAGGAACTTCAGCAAAAACGACGGCTCGGCTTTTAGGCGTGGCGAGACACACGACATGATCTTGCTGGCATCGCACATTTCATCGTTGTGTAAATGTTCCCAATTCGCCTGGAGTGAGTTCATCGCTGCGAGTGCAAAATTTTCATCATCCCGCAGGCGCTCCGAGGCGTATCTGAACTCGACCACCGATCTCTCCATTGCCTCGCGGACAGTCTGTTCGTCATCCTTCAGGCGCTCTGAGGCGAGCTCCAAACTCAGTACACCTCGATCCCACTCTGGGTCCAGGTAATAAGCTTCCCGCAGGCGCTCCGAGGCGTACCAGAGAACGTCTTCGGGGTTGCAAGTATGGTCGTTTTCTTCTAGTGTAGTTTGTATGATAGTTTCGTCGTCGCGCAGCCTTTCCGAGGCGAACTCTAGGGTGCGCCACCCGCCTCTTTTCACGGCCTCGAGAATGAGTTCTTCGTCGTCCCGTAAACGCAGCGAGGCGTACTCAATAACGTGATAGCCACCAACTTCTAGTGCCATGCGGACGATCGATTTGACGTCTTGGAGACGCGCCGATGCGTACTTGAGAGCACTGCCGTTTCTGTCCACGGCCCCGCGCACTGTTTCTTCGTCGTCGCGCAAACGCTCCGAGGCGAACTCGAGAGCACGAGCGTCTCGGTCCACGACCCGACGCACGAAATCATCGTCGTCGCGCAGCCTTTCCGATGCGAATTTGAGAGCAATACCGCTGGGGAAAATTTCTTCGTCATCGCGCAAACGCTCCGAGGCGAACTCGAGAGCAGGAGCGTCTCGGTCATCGACCCGACGCACGAAACCATCGTCGTCGCGCAGCCTTTTCGGTGCGAGTTTGAGAGCAATACCGCTGGCGAAACCACGCCTTCCAGATGCCAAAGCTGCGCGAACTATTTCCTCGTCATCGCGCAGGCGCTCCGAGGCGAACTCGAGAGCACCAGCGTTTCGTTCCACGGCTTCGCGCACGATTGACTCCTTATCGCGCAGACGCTGCGAGGCGTACTCGAGGATGGTATGCCTTTTTTTAAAAGCTGCCCTGTTTTTTAAAGCTGCGAGGACTATCGTTTCGTCATCTCGCAGGCGCTCCGACGCAAATCGCAGAGCATGTCCATCACTGGATTCCACAGCTGCGCGCACGATTTCGTCGCTGTCGCGCTGTACATCTGTGGCTTTGTAGAGGGCCACAAAGCCACCACCAGGGTCCTTAGCCAGAGCGAGGACCGACGCGTCCGAATTAGGCCTTTGAATTCGCCGCAGCTGGAGCCGGCTGGCCTCCATAGGATGAGCGATGGCAGCCTTTTTACGCAAAAGCTGGCTTGCATTTTTCAACAAAGCCGCTCGACACGATGAGGCAGCCCATAGCGCTCGCGCTGCTCTGCGCCGCCGTAGCCGACACCGCAACAAAACCGCACACGCTCGTGCTCTACGCGTACTCGCAGCACAGCGCCGAGGCCGTGGCGAACGTGCGCTATTTCCTGCGCTTCGGGCTGTCAAACGCGACCGACGCGACCTTCGTCTTCGTCGTCAACGGCTGCCACAGCGTGCAGTTCCCAGCGGACCGGCCCAACGTGCTGGTCGTCGAACGGCCGAACACGTGCTTCGACTTTGGCGCCTGGGGCGTCGGCTTGGAGGCCGCCGAGGCCGCCGGGATCGCCTACGACTTCGTAGTTTTACTCAACGGGTCCGTGCGCGGGCCCTTCCTGCCGGCCTACGAGCGGCGGCCCTGGTGGCGCGTCTTCACGGACGGCCTCAGCGTTGCCGACGCGCCGGGCCTGCTGGGCACGACGGCCAACTGCGCAGACCTCGACGCGTCGGACGCTCGCTCCGCGCACGTGCAGTCCATGGTGCTGGCCATGACGCGACCTACGCTGGACCGCGTCGGCCGACGGTTCCTCCAGAGCTGCCCGGCGGACAAGGCCGGCGCCATCTACGACGGCGAGCTGCCCCTGAGCCGGGCCGTGCTCGACGCCGGGTTAGAGCTTGGCGCGCTGCTCCTCGCGCACGGCCCTCGAGGCACGACGATCCCGCCGCACCCGCCGGCCGACCTCCTCGCCTCCTGCGCCGCCGTGCGGGAGAACAGCGAGCTCGGCCTCGGCGACGTCTACTTTCCCGCGCTCGGCGGCGACGCGCTCGACGTGCACCCGCTGGAGGTCGTCTTCTACAAGACCGCGCGGTCCGGCGCGGGCCGGGCGACGCTCGACCGCCTCACGCACTGGGCCTACTTCCACGCGGCCGGCGGCGCCCTGCGGGACCCGGCCGCGCGGCGCCGCGACTTCTCCGCGGACGCGCTCGTCGGCGACGACTGCGACCAGACGCACTGGCCCGTCGCCGACGCCGACGGCGCGGCATCGCCGGCGGCGCGGGACGCGGCGCACCTCGTCGCCCTCGAGGGCGCCCTGCGCGGCGCGAACGACGAGCTCGCGCGGCTCCGGGCGGAGAACGCGGCGCTCCGCGACCGCGCGGTCTACGTCTAAAAGGAGACTTACTTCCCCTTCGCGTAGAGGAAGTTGGCGTCGATGATCTCGGCGAAGTAGTCGTCGAGCTCGTCGAACTCGCAGAACTCGAGGCCGTGGACGAGGTCGATGGGCTTGTAGGCCGCGACGGCCTTCCGCATGGGTGGGAAGTCGCGCATGGCCTTGAAGACCGCGTGGTCCGGGTGGGGCCCCGCGGCCGCGTCGTCGCAGTACTGGAGCACGCAGGCCACGGGGAGGTGGTCCTTGGAGTTGGTGCAGTGCATGGCGTAGCGCGCGGTCGCGTCGAAGCAGAGCTCGCGGAAGATCTGCCGCTTCGACTTCACCTTGGGCCGGTTGAGGTACGCGAGCGCGTCGGCCTCGGCGGGCTGGAACGTGGAGATGACGTAGCCCGCGCCGCCGCGGCTCGACTTGCGGCTCGTCGACGGGGGCACGTCGCCGCCGAGCGCGCGCGCGACCATGGCGTCGAGCCGCTCGGCCTCGGCCTCGACGGCCGGCGGCACCGCGGCCGCGGGCGCGGCCGCGCCGTCGGGCAGCGGCGGCGGCGCCGGCAGGGACTGGCCCGGCGGCGCCAGGGGCGCGAGCACGGGCTTGACGGACGTCTGCTCCGCCGCGCGCGGCGCCTTCCGCGGCTTCGGGTCGCCGAGCGACGCGCCGCCGCCGAAGGCGCCCACGGACCGGCTCCGCACGTACTCGAGCTCCGACGCCTGGGAGCTCCACTGGCTCGAGATGACCGTCGGCGGCGCCGGCGTGCGCGGCGGGATGGCCGAGCGACGCGTCCAGACGGAACGGGCCGGGCCCGCCCGGCGCGGCCTCGAGGGGGCCCAGCGGGTCCTTGGGCCGCTTCGGCAGCCTGCCCGCGCCGGCCTGGTGCTTCCAGCTCCCGCAGCGGAAGGGCTTGCGGCCCTGGCGCTCCTCCTCCGTGCGCTTGTAGGCCGGCACGGCCCGCGCCTTCGCGGGCGACGGCGCCGGCGCGTCGGGCTCCGCGTCCTCCTCGAGCATGGGCGCGTCGAGGACCTCCGCGGGCATCTTGGGCCAGACGTAGGCCATGATCTCCTCCGACGACGTCGCCTTGGCGAAGGCGGCCATGTACTGCGCGCGCGCGCGCTCCTCGTGCCGCCGCCGCCGCTCCTTCGACGCCTTCTTCTCGAGCTCCATCCACTTCTCGACGAAGACGCGCCGCTCGTCGGCGCGGTCGTCCTCCTCGCGCGACGCGCTCAGCGCGTCCTCGGCGCCCATGGCCTCGCGGTTCGCCGCCTCGTCGTTCCGGAGGCCGTCGACGCCGAAGAACGTGTCGCCGAGGGACCGCTGCTCCGCCTCCTCGGCGCGCAGCTTCAGCGTCTCGAGCTCCGGCGTCAAGGTCACATAGACCGCCTCCTCCTTGCGCTTCGTGATGTCGCTGAGCTCCCGGAGGTAGGCCGCGAGCCGCCGGAATTCGACGGTGTCGTACTCGGCGACGGGCGGCGCCGCGTGCTCCTCCTTGACCTCCTCCTTGACCTCGAGCTTCTTCTCCGTCTCCTGCGTGAAGAAGCGGTTCCGCCCGCTCGCCAGGTTGAAGCTGTCGCTCCGCTTGAAGTTCTTCAGCTTGTGGTTCGCCATGGCGCGCAGCGACTCGGGCAGCTCCGTCTGCCCGCCGGCGCGCGCCGTCTGCACGACGCTGCCCAGGCCCATGGAGTGGCCGGAGTGGGACATCGGGGATGTCGGGACGGCGGGGTCCGTCGGGCGGCGCCGGCGCTTCGCGGCGCGCGCGGTGGCACGGCGGCCCCACCTCCAAACGCGCTACGACGGGGTTCACTACTAAAATAAATCCTCAAGGTGCCGTCTCTAACTGAGAGAAATCGACGATGGCGCTGGTAAGACGATGACGAGCGGGTCGCTCGGCGCGGCGATGCGACGGCTGGCCGCCGCCGTCGTCCTCGGCGCCGCGGGCGGCACCTGCCCGGCGGGCTCCCGCCTCGCCGCCTGGCTGCCCGGCGTGCCCTGCGTGCCCTGCGTGGCGGGCAGCTACAGCAGCGCCAACGACAGCGCGCGCTGCACGGAGTGCGGCTACGGGTCCATCTCCGGCGACGGCGCGACCGCGTGTGCGAGCTGCGCGCCCGGGACGTTCGCGACCGTCGCGGGCCGGCCCTCGAACGTCTCCGGCGTCGCCTCCGGCGCGACGCGATGCCGGGACTGCCCCGCGGGCTACGCGAGCCAGGCGGGCGAGGCGCTCTGCGAGCCCTGCGCCGCGGGCACGACGAGCGCCGCCGGGGCCGCGGCCTGCGCCTTGTGCGAGCGCGGGTCCTTCCGCCGGGCCCCGGACGCCGCGTGCGAGCGCTGCGCGGATTTCGCGGGCTTCGACGCCGAGCGGTGCGCCGCGGGCACGACGCTCGCGACCGTACCGCTCCGACGGGGCTACTGGCGCGCGGCGCCGGACAGCGACGACGCCTACGAGTGCCGCGCGCGCGCCGCGTGCCCCGGCGGCGCGTCCAACGCGACCGCGACGGCGTGCGCGCCGGGCTACGCCGGCGTCGCGTGCGCGTCCTGCGCGCGGGGCGCCTACCGGTCCGGGGCGACGCGGACCTGCGAGGCCTGCGGCTCCGCGGGCGGGCGCCGGGCCGCACTCTGGGCCTACGGGCTCCTCGGCGTCGCGGCCGTCACGGGTTTGGGCTTCCTGAGCTGCTCGACGCGGAAGCAGACGGCCCAGAGCTTTTTCCTCGCGCCCGGGGGCCAGGTGGATGTCTTTTGGGGCATCCGCAACACCGTGGGCCTCGCGAAGCACGCCGTGGCGCCCCTCGCGAGCCGCTTCGAGACGGATCTGCTGTCGAACGGCGTCGCTCACCTCGCGGCGGACCTCGAGAGCCTGCCCGACGCGCGGTTCCTGCTCCGGTGGATCACCAAGGCCAAGGCCGTCTTCACGTTCTACCAGATCCTGGCGACGCTGCCCGTGGCCTTGGAGGCGTCCGCGTTCCCCTCCGTGAGCTCGCGGTTCTTCGTCATTGCGAACGCGTTCTCGCTGAGCTTGCTCGACCTGATCCCCGCGGCCTGCTTCCCCGCGGCGTCGCCGCGCGCCGTCTACGTGAGGAGCTTCGCGCAGGCCATCTTCCTGCCGCTCGTCTTAGCCGGGGCGCTCTACCTGTGCTACCGCGCGAACGGCGTCATCTATGCCGAGGACCGGCGGCGCGTGCCGGGCTTCTACGTGACCCTATTCTTGCTGCTCGTCCACTTCTCGCTGATCTACTGCAGCTTCCAGGCCTTCCGGCCCTTCGCGTGCGAGTCCTTCGAGCTGGGCGGCGGCGAGGCGCGGGCCTACATGCGCGCGGAGCCGACGATCGCGTGCGACGGCGCGCTCTACCGGACCGCGCTGATCAGGGCAGGAAAAGGGTGATTCAACGTCGCTTCAACGTGAGTGTTCCGCGCGCGCGCGTTTCGGAAACAGCACCCACGCTTCGAGAGCGCTCCGAGCGATGATCGCTCGTCCAAAAATCAGCCGAAACGAGCGGAAAACGACCGAGATAGGAGCCTTTGAAGTTGGGAATTTCGCACCCTTTTCCTGCCCAGGTGCTGATGCCCCTCGCGTGTGCGGCCCTCTTGCTCTACCCGCTGGGCATCCCCCTGCTCTACGGGTTCCTCCTCGTGAACGCGCGCGAGATCCTGCACCCGGGCGACATGGAGATCCACACGCGCGCGACGTTCGTCGTCGCGGAGGCCGTCGCCGAGGCCGCGCATCACGGCGCCGCGGAGACGCTCCACGACCACGCGTCGACGGACCACCCCGTGCTGCCCAAGCTCGAGGACATGCGGCGGCTCCTCCACGCGGCGAGCCGCGAGGCGCTCGACGAGTTGAGGGCGGACCACAAGCGCGTCGTCATGCGGAGCTCGCTCCGGAGCGACATCAAGTCCACGGAGGCGTACCAGGCGGCGCTCGCGCGCATCCGCGACGACCGGAGCGAGCACCGCGTGGACCAGGGCGCGACGGAGGACATCCGCAACTACATGTTCCTCTGGGGCTGCTACCAGCCCCGGTGCTGGTGGTGGGAGCTCGTCGAGGCGTCGCGGAAGATCGTGCTCACGGGCGTCCTAGCCGTCGTCCGGCCGGGCTCCAAGTACCAGCTCTGCTTCGGCTACCTCGTCTCCCTGACCTACGCCGTGCTCTACGCCAAGTTCCGGCCCTTCAACGGCAAGGACGACGAGCTCATCGCGGAGAGCTGCCAGTGGTCGCTCGCGTGCGTGCTCTTCATCACGCTCGTCTGGGACGGCTTCCTCCCGCCGGCCGTCGCCGCGGGGCTGCTCGCGGGCTTCGGCCTCGTGCCCGTCGTCGTCACCGCCGTCGTCATGCGCCGCGAGGTGCAACGCGACCGCGCGCGGCGCAAGCTCCTCCGCGACAAGAGCGAGCGCCGCATCAAGCTCATGGCCGCCGTCCGCAAGACCGTCGAGGTCAACGCGCTCGCGCGGCCCCACCGCCGCGACAGCCCGGCGCGCGAGGGCCGGCGGCTCCGCGCGGACGACGGCGACCACACGCCGGTCCGCGCCTTCGACGACGGCGCGAGCGCCAAGTACGAGGAGAAGCGGCCGCCGCCGGAGGAGGAGCTGGATGTGAGGGAGCTGTAAAAACCGTCGATCGGGGGTTTCGGCACTGCAACTTGGACCAGGTGTGGCAACAACAACCCAATGTCGGAGATCGGCTTTTGTGTGAGAGGCTGCTGGTCGCGATCTCCAGGGGCTTCGCCGCCAAAATCGGGGCCCGCCCAAGCCCCGCGAGGACCTCGTCGGCGTCGCGTGACTCATAGTTCGTCGCGACCGGTGAACCACCATGCGCGTGCGGAAGTGCTGCGTCGAGTGCAGCAAAAGAAGAAAGAAGCTGAGCGAGTGCCGGCCGCGCGGCGCGGGGAACAAGTGCTGGACGTGCAACAAGTGGAACCGGGAGTGCAGCTTCGTCCACGAGTACCCCGCGAGCCTCGAGGGCATGGTCTTCGAGCCGTCGCGCGAGGAGAAGCGCATCGCGCGCGAGGCCGAGGCGCGCGAGGCCGCGGCGCGCGACGCGGCCGCCGGCCTTTCCGCGGCGCCCGCCGCGAGCGGCCGGGGCCGGGGCCGGGGCCGGGACCGCGCGGCGACGGGCGGCCGCGGCGACTTCAATGAGGAGTCGCGCAAGCGGCCGCGGCCCGAGGGCGGCGGCGGCGGCGGCGGCGCGCCGCCGGCGGCGCGGCCGCGCGAGGGCGGCCGCATGTTCGAGCTCGCGTTCGCGGCGGCCCAGGCCGCGTCGGCGACGCTGCGCCAGAGCTCGCCGGGCCCCGGCGCCGACGGCGGCGACTCGGCGGCGGCCGCGCGGTCCCTCGCGCTGTCCGTGTCGCCCGGCGAGGCCGCGCAGGTCGCGCTCATGGCCTGGGCGGCCGCGAGCGACGCGCGGCCGCCGGCGCCCGCGCCCGCGCCGCCGGCGCCCGCGGCGCCCAGCATCTCGCCGGCGCCCGCGCCGGGCGAGCGGTCGCTCGTCGTCTCCGTGCCGGACATGATGTGCCTCGGGTCGTGCGCGCGGACCATCGGCGGCGCGCTCGAGCGCGTGCCCGGCACGGCCCTCGCCGGCGTCAACGTGCCCCGGCGCCTCGCCCACGTGCGCACGACGGCGGCCCCCGGCACCGTGCTCCGCGCGCTCGAGGACGTCGGCTTCGAGAGCGAGGTCGTCACGGACGTCGCGCTCGGGGTACCGCACGCGGGCGGCGCCTGGGCCGACGAGGAGGACGTCGAGTGGGACCTGGCGGACACGCTGGGCCTCGTCTCCGCGGGCTGCTCGCGCCGCCAGGGCGGCCGCTGCGCGTGCGGGCCGTCGTGCATGTGCCACTTCTGCCCCGTGCACCACCCGGAGCGCGCGGACGCCCTCGAGCGCGCGGGGCGCCGGGGCTCCCCGCCGGCCAAGGAGCCGGCGCACGCGGCGCCACCGTTCTAAAGGAAATCCGATGTTTGCGGCCGAGACTTTCGCGAAGTTTCTCGCGACTTGTATCGAAGTTTGTCTCGCGCGCGCGTCGACGGCAGTATCAACCTGTTGCCGTTGATGGCGATGAAGCAGTCGTGACGAGGAAGGACCGTCGCCGCCCGCTGCAGCGGAAATTGCCGCCGTCCCCTTGCGCACCATCGCCGTCCGACGCCGCCTCTGTGCCCGCGACAGCCTCAACGCACCCCAAAGTCCAAATGCTGCGCCGGTCCCTCGGCCGCGTGCTCAGCAACGGCGCGCCGCCGGGGTCGCGGCCGCCGCTGCCGCCCTTCACGCTCGAGAGCGCCGTGCAGAAGGTGCGGGCCGCCGAGGACGCCTGGAACAACCGGGACCCGACGAAGGTCCCGCTCGCCTACACCGAGGACACGCAGTGGCGCAACCGGAGCGAGATCTTCACCGGCCGCGCGGCCGTGGAGCAGTTCCTCGAGCGCAAGTGGGCGCGCGAGCTCGACTACCGCCTCATCAAGGAGTACTGGGCCCACGGCGAGAACCGCATCGCCGTGCGCTTCGCCTACGAGTACCACCTCGCGGGCGGCGAGTGGATGCGGGCCTACGGCAACGAGAACTGGGAGTTCGACGACCGCGGCCTCATGCGGACGCGCCACGCGTCCATCAACGACATCCCCATCAAGGAGGAGGACCGCCTCTTCCACTGGCCCGCTGGCCGCCGGCCCGACGACCACGCGTCGCTCAGCGAGCTGGGACTCTAGCGAAAACCACACCGGAAAGCAAATGACGATTCGAACGACACCTCCGATAGTAAACCCCGTGTACAGTTCCCAGCGCGGCGGCGACCCTCGAGGTCCGCGACGGCCGTGAGTTGGCGGTCGAGTGTGGCGGCAGGACCGGGTCGCCCGTGACGAGCAGCACCGGCCGATCGAGAGTCGAATGCGCGTCGGTCCCCTGGTCGGTCCCGCGCCGAAAGGGCAGACTCGCGCCCCCATGCCCCTACCGATCCCCGCGCCACCCGCCCGGGCCCTCCAGCCCCGGCGATCGGACCAATGGAGCACAGGCTAGCGTCTAGCTTCTATGAGCTTTAATCGCTGAACTCAGCTGTGGATAAGCGACCAGCCACGATTTCCCCGGCGCCTACGACCGCCGACCCGAGACTCTGAGACTCGAGAACACGGGCTATGCTCGCGCGTCTGCTAACGATGCTTTGTAGCTCGACCCCCTCGCTCGACCCCTGCGCGACCTGACACGCGCGCCCGTACCCCTAGAGCCTCCCAACGGTCGGTACCGACCCCCGGAGTCCCACTTGCGTGCTGCAATTTGACTCAGTTATATCGATTTTGTCGATTTTCGACGCCTCCGAGCGCTCCGACCGCGTCGCCAGACGTCCCCACAAGTCCATTTACGCGCTCAGGGCGCTCACATCAGCCTATGCAGTGATTTGGCGACGTTCCTGGGCCTGCTGGGCCGAGTTTGAGGCCGGTGTCACCCCCCGTCTCTTGACGGCGCTTCGTCCTCTCGAGCTCGAGCCTGAGCGCGGGCTCGCCGAACGCGCGTATGAACAGGGGCCGTTAGCGCCTAGGCCGACACGCTGGCGGCGGGCGGCTGGGGCTTCTTGACCTCGGAGATGAACTCGCCCGAGTCGGAGTAGACGCGGACGTCGCCGTTGGGCGCGCGGAGGATGACGGTGTCGCCGCCGCCGCCGTTGCTCGCCTTGAGCGCGCGGACGACGTCGCGGTCGAGGACGCGCTCGACGGCGGCGGCGGCGTCGGCGGCGCTCGGCCGGTCCGCGGGCCCGCGCGCGAGCATGCGCGCGAGGAGCGCGCGGATCTCGTCGAGCCCCGCGAACGTCGCGTCGCGCGCGAGGAGCGCGCCGCGGTCGTCGACGGACTGGGCGCCAACCAGAGCCCCGAGGCACGCGGCGCGCTCCATGGCCGTGGTGAAGCGCGGCCGGAGCATCTCGTAGAGCACGACGCCGAGCGAGTAGACGTCCGCCTTCTCGTCGTAGTCGTCGGACGCGAGCTGCTCCGGCGCCGCGTAGAGCCGCGTGCCGACGCCCACCGTAATGTCGTCGTCGTCCTCGGACCGCGCCACCGCGGCGACCTCCACCTCGTCGTCGTCGCCCTCGTCCGGCCCGCGCACGTGGCGGCTCAGGCCGAAGTCGCCGATCTTGACCGTGCCGTCGGCCGTGAGGAAGACGTTCGCGGGCTTCAGGTCCCGGTGCACGAGGCCGCACTCGTGGACGTACTTGAGGCCCCGCGCGACCTGGGCGAAGATGCGCAGGGCCGTCGTCGCGTCGACGTCGCCCACGGACTGGGGCGGCCGCGCCTCGAGGTAATCGCGGAGCGTCCGCGACGAGCAGTACTGCATCTGGATGTGGAGCACGAGGTCGTAGACGACCTTCTTCGACGCCGGGGGCAGCGTCGGCGTCGCCCTGGGCGGGTCGCGGCAGCCCGTGGGCGAGGGCATGTCGCTGCCGCACATGTCGAAGGACTTGAGCCGGTTTCGCGACGAGAGCGCGGACGCGCCCGAGAGCGGCCGCGGGTCCCCATCGTCGTCGTCGCGCTCGAGGGAGAAGGCGCCGCCGAAGCTCGACAGGTCGCCGAAGGAGCCGCCGGACCGCGTGCCGTCGTCGCTCTCGGACCACTCGACGATGTCCGCGGGCACGCGCGCCGCCGCGCGCGCCGCGGGCGCCGCGGCCGTCGCTGTCGTCTCGTCCTCGAGGTCCGCGCGCGGGTCCGCGGCCTCGCCCTGCTCGAGCCAGGCCTGGTAGTAGCGCACGATGTTCGGGTGGTCCAGCAGCGCGAGGATCTTGACCTCGCGGAGCATCTTCTCGAGCCGCGGCCGCCACGCGGGCGCGGACGACAGGCGGATCTTCTTGATGGCGTACTCCGTGTCGTCGAGGCGGTTCGTCGCCCGCGTCACGGTCCCGAAGCCGCCGCCGCCGAGCGCCTCGTGCTCCTCGAACTCGAGCTCGTAGCGCGCGCGCGACACGAGCGGCCCCGACGACGACGCGTCCGACGAGGCCCGCTGGCTCCGCTCGCCCAGGGGCTCCAGCGGCTCCAGCAGCGCGCGCCGCTCGAGGGGCTCCAACCCACCCAACGCCGACGTCGACAGCGCGCGGAGCGGCAGGCTCCGGGGCCCGCCGCCGAGCTCGAGCTTCGGCGGCGCCGCGACGTGCGGCGGCCCGTCGAGCTGGGGCGTCGTCGGCCGCCAGGCCGGCGAGGGCGCCGGCTTCCGCCGGGTCCGGAGCGACGCCGCGGCGACGGCGACGAGCGCCGCGACCGCGAGCCCCGCGAGGCACCGCAGGGCGACGAGCTCGCGCCGGAGCGCCGCGGGCAGCGCCGCGGGCCGCGTCGCGGCCAGGGCCGTCGGCGGCGCGATGAGGGGCCGCGTCGGGTCGCCGGCCCAGGGCGCCGCGGGCGGCGCGCCGGGCGCGTCGGGCGCGAGGCCGAGCGGGAGCGGCGGCCGCGGGAGCTCCGCGGGCGGCGCGGGCAGCAGGCGCCGGGACCGCGCGTCGGCGAGGGTCCGGAGCTCCGCCGCCCCGGGCCCGCGCCGCTCGAGGGACACGAGCTCGCCGCCGGCCGCCGCCGCGGGCACGTCGAGCTCCGCCCAGCCGCCGCCGGCCGTCGCGCCGAAGACCGCCGTCGGCGCCGCGGGCATCTCCGCGGCCCAGAGCGCCGCGCCGCTCGGGCTCGACGCCTCCAACCGGTACTCGCCGCCCCAGGCGAGGCGCGGGAACGTCGGCGGCCGCGCCGCGGCGACGACGTCGACGCCGTCGGCGCCGCTTTGGCCGCGCGTCTCGTTGACGAGCGCCGCGAGCGACCCCCGCGCGGCCTCGGCCGACGACAGCCCGAAGGCCGATATCGACGACACGGTGACGTTCCAGGTCTCCTCGCCGCTCTGCGCGTCCATGGCCCGGACGACGTACTCCTCGCGCTGGAGGAGCGCGGGCGCGTCGCCCGCGCGGCCGAACGCGTCGCGCCGCGCGCCGTTGGACCCGTCGTCGGGGTGCACCCAGCGCACGCCGCCGCTGTCGACGTCGACGGCGAAGATCGTGCGGAACCGCTCGCCGACGAGCAGGCCGCACCGCGCGCCGCCGCCGCCGCCGCCGTCGCCGAGCGCGTCGCCGACCGCGCACTGCATCGCCGGCGCGTCGAGGGCCGCGATCTCCGCCGCGCTGAAGGGCAGCTCGTCGATGGCCCCGTCGCCGCGCAGCTCGTAGATCGACCCGTCGAGCCCGGGCACGATCGCCTGCTCCGGGTTCGCGCCGCTCGCCGACACGAGCGGCCCGCCGCTGCCGAACGTGCCCACGGGGGCGCCGCTCCACGCGTCGAGCGTCACGACGCTGCCGTCGATCAGGGAGACGAGGACGCGCTCGCCGGGCGGGGCGAGGGTCGCGCCGAACGAGGCGAGCGCGACGACAAGCCGGAGCGGCTTCGGCGCCATGGCGTTACGCTTTTTTTTGCGTCAAACCGGCGAATTTCGCGCTGAAACTTTGTCGGGGGGTGGTGCACCCCTAAAGGGGGGGCGCAAACGCGTCTACTGCGTTCTAGACGTCCATCGGAGCGCGCGGCGTCGCTTTGTGCGGACCATCAGAAGCTGTCTCTATCTCGACGCGTGTTGGCTGTGGCCGCGGCGCCGGGGTCCAATGGCACACGAGCGCCGCCTCACGACCGCGTCCGCGCGCGCGCGCCGGCGCTTAAGCGCGAGTGTAAACAGAGGAAGGGGAACTCCAACACAAATCCCCGAGGGCCTCGCAGCCAGCCGACCGACGAGTCGCGCCATGCGATGGCGGAGTTGCGGTGAACGTGACGACTCGGAAGAGCGATGGCTTCCCGTTCCTCGCGGTAGTTCACGAAGATGGACGCGATCGCGCTCATGGTCGTCCGCATGCCGACGACGAACGCCGACGCGGCCGCGGACTCTTGCGCCGACGAGCGCTTCGACCTCCGGCCTGGCGCACGGGGTATCCTGGCTCCTCTCAGGCCCGGGAGGCTCTCAGGATCAAGATTTGGTAGGCCTTTTGGTCCCGCGTCCTCACGCGATCGGCGAGCGGCAGCTCGGCGTGATCGCGACGCGGTCGAACGCCCAGGGCGGCATCGTCGTGATCGCGCCCTGCGACGGCATGGGCGTGCTCCTCAGGGCCTCCAGGTCCTCAAGTCCAAGCGCGTCAACTTGAAGGTCCGCATCATCGAGATCGAGCTGAATCACGGAAAAAAAGGGCTGTGGCGGCTCGAGCACGGGCAGCAGAAGCGCGCGAGCGCCGAGAAGTAAGCGCTAAGCTGGACGCAGCCGATCTCGTGGTGCCCGCCGCGCGGGAACTCGCTGAGAATGTTTCCGAGGCCGACCGTGAGGCGTCAACAATCGCTTCTCAAGCTTTTACCCTGCCCACCCGGTCGACCTTGCCCTTTGGGAGCTGAGGCGCTCGGCTCGGAGAGCGGCCGCCGCGACATCGCGTGCGCGGCGCCCCCGGGGAGTGGGGCCGCGCGCTCCCGCATGTGCCTCGGGACCGTCCGTGGCCAGACCACTGCGAAGACGCCGCGCGCGAAACGGTCCGGGCGTCGTCGAAAACGCAACGGCCTCGTCGGAGCGTTCTCTCGCGACGGCTGGCGCGTGTTGGACGTGTTCCGGACCTCGCATGCCGGGTTTCTCCGGAGGAAGTGCGGAGAGGGTTGCTACGAAGAACATGTCTCGCGAAACCCGGCATTCGCCACCGTCGGACCACCCTACGGCCTCGGTTCCTCGATTCTCATCGATTGGCGGCGGTCAAAACGAGCCAGTGTGCGGCGCCGCGACGCCCCTGGACGTCCAGAGCGGTTCCGATGCCCTCTCACGACCGATCACTGGGGCTCCGCTGGCCCGCGCGTCAGGTGAACGCGGCACTCGACAGCTACAGCTTGGGCGCCTCCTGCCAGCGCCTCGAAAACGACACCAACACGGTCTACAGCGACGACGCGCCCACGAACGCGGACTGGCGCTGGCGTTGCGTCGAGACATCTTGTCTCGACTCCAGAAGACGCTCGGCCATCGAAACGGTGCTCTGCGCGCCTGTTTTCCTGCCGTTGGTGCCTCGCCAGTACACCCTAGCCGTACTAAACCAGTACAAACGCGTCGTATACGGCCGTATATACTCGCTTCGGCGCCCCGCGCGACCGCCTGGGGACCGGGCGGACTCCCTGGGCTAGCGTGGACGTGCGTGGCACCCGCCGCCGTCGGGTGGACACGCGTACGTGGCGCTCGCGCACGCCGGAAATCTCCAAAAACCGACATTTTCGGCCATAACTTGTGCCAATCGATGACCTAGCATGATCGGCTGCGGTTCCGGAGCCCCAGATAAACGTCCATCACGACGAGACAAGCAGGGGGTCCGCGGTCGAGGTGCCCAAAATCGTCGATTTTCCAGTGGCGTGGGCAGGGTAAAGCTTTGGCCGCCGAGCGGCAGCCAACTCGGCCGCGTCGCTTTGCGCCGACGCACCAGCGCTGCACAACTCGTCATGAGCGGCCGCTACTACAGCCGCGGCAGCCGCGACATCGTCGACGAGCGCGACCGCCCGGTCCGCGAGGAGCGCTACCGCTACGAGGAGCCGCGGCGCTACGAGCGGCGCGGCTACGACCGCCCGCGGACGCTGGACCGCGAGCGCGGCTACGACCGGCGGCGGCGCGACGACGACGGCTACGACCGGTCGCCGCGGCGCGACGACGACGGCCGCGACCGGTCGCCGCGGCGCGACGACGACGGCTACGACCGGCCGCGGCGCGACCGCCGGAGGGACCGCGCGCCCGAGCCCGCGGCCGAGGCGCCGGCCGCCGCGCCCGAGCCCGTCGCCACGCTGAGCGCCTACTCGACGTCGCGGGCCCGGTCGGCGACGCCCGGCGACCGGTCGCCGGACCGGCGGCGGCGGCGCGCGCCGAGCGCGTCGCCGAGCGCGTCTCGCAGCGCGTCGCGGAGCGCGTCGCCGAAGAGGCGCAAGGCGTCCAAGTGGGACGACCCCGCGCCCGGCCACCTCGGCGGCCCCAGTCTGGCCGCCGCCGTGCTCGGCGAGCCGGGCGACGCGTCCGCGCTCATCGGGCAGGCGGCGGCGATGGGCCTGCTCCCGGGCCAGCTGCCCGGGTCGAAGAAGCAGCGCGAGGTCTACGTGGGCAACCTGACGCAGAACGTGGTCACGGCGGAGACGCTGCGGGACCTGTTCGTGTCCCTGGCCCAGGCGCTGCCGGCCTTCGACGCCGCGCGGGGCCCGCCGGTGCACAACGTGCAGATGTGCAGCGGCGGGACCTACGCGTTCGTCGAGCTCCGGGACGAGGCGCTCGCGTCGACGATGATGAAGTTCCACGGCCTGGAGGTCGCCGGGCGGCCGTTGAAGATCGGGCGGCCGGGGGGCTACGTCGAGCCCGCGCTCGGGCCCGCGGTGCCCATCGACGTGCCGAACCAGATCCTCCGCGAGCTCGGCGTGTCGGGCGTCGAGTCCGCGTACCGCATCCCCGCGCACGTCTCCTCGGAGGGCGCGCTCCAGATCAAGAAGCAGCGCGAGCTCTACGTGGGCAACCTGGCCGCGGGGACCGTGACGGCGGCCATGCTCAAGGAGCTCTTCACGGAGCCGCTAAGGGCCGCGCTCGAGATCCCGCCGGACGACCCGACGCCCCTGGTGCTGTCCGCGGAGATCGAGCCCAAGGGGGCCTTCGCCTTCGTCGAGTTCCGCGACGACGCGACGGCGACCTTCGCGCTCAACTTCTTCCGCGACATGGAGTTCTGCGGCCGGCCCATGCGCGTCGGACGGCCCGCGGGCTACGTCGACGCCGCCGCGCTCGGCGCGTTCGGCGCGGGGCTCGCGTCGGGCCTCGGCGCCGTGCCGCCGGCCATCGCCGGCTTGGGCGGATTTTCGTGACGTAATAGGTGCTGCTTAGGCCTTCTTTGTGGCAGGTCGGCCAGGAGTCGCGGACTCGGAGGCCGCGCCGCGCGCGGCTCGATCGTCGACGTCGGCTGCGCCACGCCCATGGCCCACCGTCGGTGCGTGCTAAGGGCGTTGCCGGGCTCGGGTTGCGGGTTGAGCCTCAAGTTGCGCCTTCAACTCAGCAGCCTTCCTCAATGTTGAGTTCAATCCATGTCATCTTGAGTCTGACGAGTTGGATCGGAAGGATCTCAGGGCACTCTCTCGGAGCGTCCCGGATCCCCGTCGTGTGCGCCGCGTTCTGCGCGGCGCGACGGTCCTGAACATGGCCTCCCGGCCGCCCAAGAGCGCGCACATCGATCGGGAAACCTGTCGAAGCAGTGTCGACGACGCCGGACGCCACTGCCACCCGTGTCAGGAAGAGGTGTCCAGAACAAGCTCGTTCGGAGAGACGGACGGCGCCGGCAACCAGGAGAACGTCGCGAGGCACATCCCGCGCAACGAGACCATGACGTCCGAGGTCGCGCGCCTCCTGGCCCAGCTCGGCACGCGCGGCGCGGTCCTGTCGAGCAAGAAGCGGACGCTGAGCCTCCGGAATCTCGCGTCCGCGGGCGACGACGTCGCCTACGTGCCGCTCGCGGGCGAGCAGGCCGTCGCCGCGCCCTGGGACCTGCCCTGCGGCGGGACGGACGACGTCGTCGTGCGCGCGACGCCCTTCGTCGCGCCCGCGGAGGTCATGCGCGCGCGCGTGCGCCACGTCGAGGGCGGCGCGACGTTCGACCCCGCGGGCTTCGCGCCGGACAAGTACGTCGTCCGCGGCGACGCCTTCCGGCCGCGGCTCCCCGCGGGCGCGCCCTACCTGCGCTTCGAGGGCGGGTCCCTGGACCGGGGCCACGCGCTCGCGCGGGGATCCCACGCGTTCCTCCGGCTCCGCGGCGAGAGCCACCTCCGCGTGGCCGCGGCGCCGCGCGCCTTCGGCGGCTGCGGGAGCGACTACGCGTGCCTCGCGCTGTCGCCGGCGCCGGCGAGCGTGCTCCTCCGCGGCGAGCTCGAGACGGGCGGCGACGGCGAGCTCCTCCGCTGGATCTCGCGCGGCGGCACGCTCCGGCTCCGCCGCGGCAGCGACCTCGACCTGCCGCCGAGCCTCGCCTGGGAGTACGTCGACGGCGTCGCCTTCGCCTACGACGCCGACGCGGACCACCGGTCCAAGATCCAGCGCCTCGCGGGCGCGGGCTTCGCCGTCAAGAGCGACGACCCCTCGCCCGCGTGCGTGACGCGGACCATCGACTTCTGACCTTTTCTCCGGGCCACGCGGCGCCGCGACACGCGCGCCGCGGACCCCTCGCGGCCCAGCATGGGCCCGCGACTAATTTGAATCACGACGGACTGGGGTCGTCCGCGCGTGCTCGCGGACGGGCTCGGCGGCGCGGAGCAGTCGCGGACGCGTCCGCGGCGGAGGCGTCGACCGACGCGCGAAAGAAATGCGACACCTTACGCTCAGCTCGGGTCGTACGCGCGGAAGCGGCGGAGCGTCTCCACGGCGCAGGCGTCCTCCCGGCGCGCGCAGACGACGTTGCTCCAGGAGTGCTTGTGCGTCCACGTGGGGTGCCAGCACCGCGTGATCGTCACGAGCTTCCCCTTGTCGAGCGCCCAGAAGCACTCGTAGCCGAGGTCGTCGAGCTCTCCGATCGTGTCCGCGAGCTCGAGCTTGGACCAGGCCCGGTAGCGCTGGTGCTCGAACTCGAGGTAGCGCACGCGGCCGGACGCGAGCGCGCGCGCGGCGCCCCGGAGCACGAGTGGGTCGTTGCCCTCGGCGTCGACGCTCAGGATCGCGGGCGCGGCGCCGCCTGCGAAGAGAGAGCGGTCGCGACGGTCCCGCGCTCTCGGACTCGGGCTCACTTTCGGGTTCTGACTCGGGTTCGCTCTCGGGTTCGCTCTCGGGTTCACTCCCCTTTGAAATCACACTCGCCGCTCCGGGACGCCGGCCGCCGCCGAACTCCGCGTCCACGAGGTCGTCGACGGTCGTCACGGTGACGTTGCGGAAGGCCGACGCCGCCGGCAGGCGCGGCGGGTCGTAGGGCGGGTTCGCGCCGCGGCCGCGGCCCTGCGCGCTCGTGCCCTTGCCGCGGCCCGCGCGGAGCCGGCGTCGCACGCCCCACGTCTCCATGCCGAACTCGAGCCCGACGGGGAACGGCGCGCTGCCCGGCGCGTCCATGGCCGCGGCGTCGACGACGCGGAGCACGCGCGCCCAGGGCGGCTCCGCCGCGGCGACTTTCAGCGCGTCGACGTTCGCGGGCAGGGGCTCGACGCAGGCGACGACGGGCGCCGCCGCCGACGGCGCGGGCCGGGACACGAGCGGGTAGTCGCTGCGGCACTGCTTGCACTCGCCGCAGGGGATCGCGGTCGCGTTCGCGACGGCCTCGAGGCGCCGCGTCCACGCGGCCGCGGAGTACGCGGCGTCGCCGGCCGCGAGGCGCGCCCAGCCGACGCAGTCGTAGGCCTTGTTGCCGCCGACGACGAGCACGTTGCGGTCGCCGTCCTCGGGAAGGCAGTCGCGCGCCAGCGGCCCGAGCCAGACGGCGCTCCGCGGGCAGGCGCTCGCGTGCTTGCCGCCTAAAGCCATGAAGGCCGCGTCGTTGGCGTCGGCCTCGCTCGCGTTGCACCCGTAGGACCCGGGGTCGTGCGCCTGGCCGCGCGACACGGCAATGATGGCCAGCGCGCGCAGCGCTCGCAGGGCCTGAAGCCTCACCATCGTGATGCGGGCAGCCTTTTGGAAACTTCAACGACGTGGAATTACGCGGGCTCCTCGGCGAGGAGCGCCTCGAGCGCCTCCCAGTCGCGGTAGAGGACGTCGACGCGGGCCTGGAGCGCGAGGCGCGCGTCGTAGAGCGCCGTGACCTTCGCCGTGTCCGCCGCGGCGGCCTCCATGTCGCCGTCGATGCCCGCGAGCTCCGCCTCGAGCGCCTCGATCTGCGGCTCGAGCTTCGCGATGTCGCGCGGCGCGTTGTGGCGCCGGCGCCGCAGGTCGCTCTCGCGCTTCTTCGCGGCTTTGTCGTCGGCGCCGTCGTCGACGACGAAATCGTCGTCGTCGTCGTCGTCCGGCGCCGCGTCGAGGAGCTCGAGGTACTCGGTCATCGATCCCGGAAACGACGACACGTAGCCGTCGCCCGGGAGCACGAGGAGCGTGTCGCAGGTCGCGTCGAGCAGCGACCGGTCGTGGCTCACGAGCAAGAGGGCGCCCTTGAAGTCGTCGCTCAGGAAACGCTCGAGGCTCTGGAGCGCGCCGAGGTCCAGATCGTTCGACGGCTCGTCGAGGATCATGACGTCCGGGTTCGCGTCCAACACCGCCATCATCTGGAGCCGCCGCTTCTCGCCGCCGCTGAGCTTGGCGATGGGCGCGGCCCAGGCCGCGCCGTCCTCGAACTGGTAGCGCTTGAGGAGCGTCGACGCGGCCGCGATCAAGTCGCCCGACGCGACGGCCCCCGACGGCCGCCGCGAGATGACGTCGAGCGCGAAGTCCATGGGCGTCGCCGCGCAGGCCGCCTCGCTGAGCGGGGTCTGCGCGTAGTAGCCGACCTTGATGTTCGCCAGCACGATGGCGTCGTCGTCGCCGTCGTAGCGCGCCGCGTCCGCGGCGGCCGCCGCGATGTCCTCGTCCGTCGCGCCGACGAGCCGCCCCTCGCGCGCCGCCTGCGCGACGATGGCCTTGACGAGCGTCGACTTGCCCGCGCCGTTGGCGCCGACGACCCCGATGCGGTCGTTGTGCGCGATCTCGTAGGAGAACTCGTCGAAGAGCCGCTCCTCGTAGTCTTCGTCGTCGACGGTCGCGACCCCCGCCCTCGCGCCGAGGTCGTCGATGGTCACGACCGTGCGCTTGCGCCGCTCCTCCGTGCGCCGCGCGTCGTCGGCGGCGCCGGCCTCGAGCCCCAGGTCCCCGCGCTGCTTGACGTCCTCGGCCTTGTGCTGGAGCACGTCGACGCGCGCGATGCGCTCCGTGGACTTGGACTGGCGCGCCTTTGCGCCGCGCCGCAGCCAGGCGAGCTCGTCGCGGAGCTGGGACCGCGCGGCCGACGCCGCCGACTGGGAGTCGGCGAGGCGCTTCGCCTTGCCCTCCAGATACGCCTCCACGAGGCCGCCGGCCCGCGTCGAGTGCTCGTACAGCTTGCCGCCGTCGAGCTCGACCAAGGACGTCGCGACGGCCTCCGCGAAGGTGCGGTCGTGGCTCACGAAGACGACGGTCTTCGAACTGAGCACCTCCGACGCGAGGTAGTCCTCGAGCCAGCGCACGGCCCAGAGGTCGAGGTGGTTCGTCGGCTCGTCCAAGACGAGCACGTCGCCGCCGGAGAGGAGCGCGCCCGCCAGAGACACCCTCTTGCGCTCGCCGCCGCTGAGCTCGGCGACGGAGCGGCCCTGGAGGTGGTCGATGTTGAGTTTGGCCGACGCCGTGGCGACGGAGGCCTCGACGGCCCAGCCGTCCGCGTCGCTCATCGCGTCCGACGCCCGCTCGAACCGTTTCGCGAGCGCCGCGTCGCCGGGGTCCGCCTCGTAGGCCGCCGCCGCCGCGGCGTAGGCCCGCGCGGCGGCGACGTCGCGGCCGTCGCCGCTCAACAGCACGTCGCGCACGGACTTGGCGCCGTCGCCGGGCGCGGTCAGCGGCTCCTGCTCGACGCACGTGACCTTGGCGCCCTTTTTCACGCGGACGCCGCCGCCGTCGAGCGCCTCCGTGCCGGCGATGACGCCCAGCAGCGTCGACTTGCCGCAGCCGTTGTGGCCGACGACGACGCAGCGCTGGCCCTCGCGCAGCGTCAGCGACGCGTCGTCGAGCTGGAGCCGCAGGCCGTCGTGGGACTTGGCGAGGTTCTCGCACCAGACCACGGGCTGCGCGCTGTCGTGGAGTAGAGTTTGTCGGGGGCGATGCTGTGGCGATTTGCTGAAGGCTGCGGCGAGAGTGACGACTGCAACAGCGGTCAGGCAGCGCATGACGCAGGCCATCGCGTCGCGCGAAGAACTGCAACAAAACTCGCAAGCGCTAGCATGGGTGCGGCATATTTGCCGCTGGCGTGATCGTGCGTGATGCCATTACCACCGACGCCGCTGCCGGCCTTTCGAAAAACGATCGGACAGGTCCTCCGCACGGGCCTGAACAGCAGCTTCGAAGCGACGGCGCCGCCGGCGGCCGCGCGCGCCGTGCGCCTCGACTGCCGCGGCGGCTTCGACGCGCCGACGGCGGGCCTCGCGCCCGGCGCCGTGCAGGCGAACCTCGTCGTCGTGCCGCGCGCCGCGGCCTTCGACTTTGCGCGCTTCTGCCTTTTGAACCCGCGGCCGTGCCCGCTGCTCGCGGTGAGCGACGACGGTTTCGCGCTCGGCGGCGACCTGCGGACGGACCTGCCGCGCTACCTCGTCTGGCGCGACGGCGCCGTCGCCGAGGAGCGGTCCGACGTCGCGGACCTCTGGACCGACGACATGGTCGGCTTCCTGCTCGGCTGCTCGTTCTCCTGGGAGGGCCGCCTCGAGGCCGCGGGGCTGACGCCGCGCCACGTGGAACAACAAAGAAACGTGCCCATGTACCGCACGGCCGTGCCCAACGCGCGCGCCGGGCCCTTCGGGGGGTCGCTCGTCGTGAGCATGCGGCCCTACGCGGAGCGCGACGTCGCGGCCGTCGCCGCGGCGACGGCGCCGTTCCCCGCGGCGCACGGCGCGCCCGTGCACTGGGGCGACCCGGCCGACATCGGCGTCGGCGACCTCGGCGCGCCGGACTTCGGCGACGCCGTCGAGGTGCGACCCGGCGACGTGCCCGTCTTCTGGGCCTGCGGCGTGACGCCGCAGACGGCGCTCGCGGCCGCGGGCCTGCCGCTCGCGGTGACGCACGCGCCCGGCCACATGTTCGTCTGCGACCTGCGCGACGACGACCTAAGGGTTTAGACGGACTTGAGCTGCGCGGACCGCGACCGCACGGGCCTCGCGGGCGGCAGGCGCTTCTCGTCGCCGAAGACGTCGAGGATCTGGGACAGCTCCCGCTCGCGCGTGCCGTCGTTGCGCGGGCAGGACGCGCTCTCGTGGGCCGCGTAGGCCGCCGCGAGGAAGAGGCCCCCCGCGGCGACGAAGACCGCGCCGGGCCCGACGCCGCGGCCGCCGGCCGCGCCGAGCGAGAAGAGCGCGCCCGACGCGTAGGGCCCGACGCCCCGCGACAGGAGGAGCACCAGGACGGCCATGGCGCCCTTGACGTAGGACGCGTCGGCCTCGGGGATCTCGAGCATGAGCTCCGCGCGCATGAGCGGCTCCGCGAGCCCCGCGGGGAAGTAGAGCAGCGCCAGCGCCAGCACGTCGCCGGGCCCGCGGCAGTAGAGCAGCCCGAAGCACTCGGCGGCCTTGGCGAGGAGCGCACCGAGGAGCGCGCGGTGCCGGAGCCGCGGGCCCAGCAGCTTCTCGGGAAGCGCGGGGAGGAAGAGGCCCTGCGCGACGAAGCGCAGGAGGTGCGTCGACGTGAGGAAGGCCGCGAAGCGCTGCTGGCGCATGCCGAAGCGCAGCTTGAAGTAGGGGAAGTAGACGGACGCCGCCGCGATGCCCGTGTGCGCGAGCGAGAACGAGCACACGAGCAAGAACGCGCGGCGGCTCGGCGGCCGCACGAAGAGCACGGACGCGCCGCGGAAGACGTCGGCGCCGCAGCGCGGCGGCGCGTCGTCGCCGTCGGCCTGGCGCTCCTCGTCGTCGAGGAGCCGCCGCCGGCCCTCGTCGTCGCGGCGCCGCGCGGACCGCGGCCACCCCGCGGCGACGACGACGGCGCCGACGGCCGACGCGACCGCGCCGGCGACGAAGGGCGCCGCCGGCGACACGCGGTGGTAGACCAAGCTCCCGCAGGTCGCGCCCGCCACGCCGCCGAGGGACATGGCGCCGCCGAGCACCGCGTAGCGGCTCGCGAGCAGCGCGCCGCGGCCCGTGTCGAACTTGCCCTCCTCCTTGCCCTCGCCGTCGCGGCGCGCGACCATGGCCGCCTGGGCCAGGGGCACGACGACGACGGACGCGCCGTGGAAGACGGCGAGCGCGCGGAGCGCGCGCAGCGACGACGCGACGCCGCGCGCCGCGTAGCAGGCCTCGACGCCGACGTCGATGAGGACGGCCGCGAGCGCCGCGCCGCGCGCGCGGCCGCGGCCGGCGACGGCGGCCATGACCGGCATGCAGACGCAGGCGCTCAGCGACGTGATGAGCGCGAGCTGCCCCAACACCCGCGCCAGCGCGCCGGGCTCGAAGGCCGCGCTGAGGATGTGGGGCAGCAGCGACTGCTTGACGCCCAGGAGGCTAAAGTGGACGAAGGTCACGAAGACCGGCGCGTGGAGCGTGCGCCACTCCATCGCGCGCATCGAACGCAGGTGCGATCGGACGCGCGCCGCGCTGGACGGCGCGCCGTGCAGGGACGCGCGGCTTGTCCACGCAGGCCGTCGCTCGCTACAGGTTTTGCCACAGAGTGCGCGAACGGCTTCAAACTTTTGCTTGCCGTACGATGGTTGCGCTCTAAGCTCTTGCTGTCCAGCGACTGCTTCGGCAAGCTCGTTGTCGCCCGCAGAACTCGCGTGACGCGCTTATGAAGCCACTCTCGCCCGCCGTGCGCGCGTTCAAAAACACGTTACGTCGCGCGCCGTCGCCGGGGCGCGTCGACCTCGAGCTCTGCGACGCGAGCGGCGTCGGCACGCTGACGCTGCGCAACGCCGCGGCGCGCAACGCGCTGTCGCCGCCCATGATGGCCGGGCTCCACGACGCCGTCGAGGCGCTGCGCGGCTGGGACGGCGGCGCGGCCGTCGTGGTGACGGGCGAGGGCGGCGCGTTCTGCGCCGGCGCGGACCTGTCGGCGGCGCGCGGCGGCGGCGCGCTCGCGACGCCCGAGGCCGGCGCGCTCATGAGCGAGCTCGTGGCCGCGACGCTCGCGGGCCTCCGGGACCTGCCGCTCGTCAGCGTCGCGGCCGTCGACGGCCACGCCGTCGGCGGCGGCGCGGAGCTGGCCACCGCGACGGACTGGCGGTGCCTCGGCGCGGGCGCGACGCTGCGCTTCGTGCACGCCAAAATGGGCGTGTCGCCGGGCTGGGGCGGCGCCGGGCGGCTCGCGGCGCTCGCGGGGCGGCCCGCGGCCCTGCGGCTGCTGCTCCACGCGCCGGCCGTCGGCGCGGCCGAGGCGATGGGGCTGGGGCTCGCGGACGCCGTCGGGGCCGAAGGCGAGCCCGCCGCGGACGCGGCGCGGCGCCTCCTGCTGTCGCCGGCGCTCGCGACCGCGGCCGGCCGAACGACCATCCGGGCGATCAAGCGCGCCGTGGCCGGCGGCGAGGCCGCGGAGGCCCAGGCCTTTGCGTCGACGTGGGGCGGCGCCGAGAACCTCGCGGCGATCGCGCGGAATTCGAAGGGGCGGCCCTAAGGGCTTTTTATAGGAGCGCTAGACGCTGAGGAGCATGTCCCGGCAGTTCATGTAGGTCGAGTACCTGTGGCGATTTCGGTCACCGCCCGGCGAAAGAACGTGGGACGCGGCGAACCGTGCCAGATCGCGCCGCCGAGGCTCTTGAGCACGAGCCGCGGCAGGAGGCCGCGGTAGAGCGCGCCCGGCCCCTCGGTCCGCGCGGCCTTGGCGAGGCCGTCGGCGAGGCTCCGGTAGTTGAAGTCGGCGCCCTTGGCCTCCTTGCCCTCGGACGCCCGGAGCTGGGCCATGATGCGCGTGCGGACGACGTCGATGGGCTCCGTCGCGGCCGTCGCGAGGCAGGCCGCGAGGGACCCGAGCGCCGCGTGGCTCAGCGACGAGTAGCGGCGGCCCGCGTCCAACACGCTGAACTGGACGACGGCGACGGCGACGTCGAGCGCCACCGTCGCGCCGAAGCCCATGTAGAGCGCCGCCAATCCCCCGCCGCGGACGATCTGGCGGACCGCGGCGGTCGCCGACGGGCTCAGGCCCGCCTGGACGCGCGTCTTGACGACGGAGCAGGGCACGCGCACGGACGCGCAGACGACGCCCGTGAGCACGCCGCTTAAAGGGGCGACGAGCGGCCCGGGGCACGAGGCGCCCCGCAGACCCGCGGACGCGGCCTCGTACGTCGGCATGTAGACGAGCGCCGTGGGCACGACGGCGACGAGCGACGGCGCGAGGCCCGCGTAGAGGCTACTCGCGCGCGTCGACCGCAGCATGCGCGCCGCGCCGACGACGTCCTGCACGAGCGGCACGTTCCAGTGCTTCGTCGAGCGCGCCGCGCGGCCCGCGTCGTAGCCCGCGATGGACGTCGGCATGGGCCGCGGCGGCGGCCGGCCCGCGACGGTCCGCAGCTGCGCGCCGAGGCCGAACTTGGGCGTGTCGCGGGCGTACTGGAGCCGCACCTTCAGCGTGTCCAGGGGGTGCAGCGCGACGTGCTGCGCGAAGCCGGCGCACATGGACGCCGCCACGATCTCCAGCGCGCCGTTGAGCATGGTGGGTGTGTCGGCCGTGGTGTGTATGTCGTTGGCGTCGCGCCTCGCGCCGAGCTAGTGAGCGCGCGGTCGACCAGAGACCTTCGCCATGCCCGCACCCTTCGGTTTGATTGAACTGCAACAACCGGTTCAACGGACGCCTCAAGCTTCTACGAGCCCTCTTACGACCGCCGTCGCCGCCGCGCCCGCCGCCTTGATCGCGCCCGCCGTCGCGGCGGCTCCGGCTCCTTGTCCGGCAGGCCGCCGAGGAGCGCCGCGCGCCGCTCCGCGCGGTCGGCGGCGTAGCCCGCGAGCCAGACGTCGACCTCGACGGCGAGGTCGAGGAGCGCGTCGCCGCGCGCGAAGGGCCGGCCCTCGGCCGTGCGGAGGAGCTCGCACTCCGGCAGGTTGAGGAACTTGGTGTCGATGGGGATCTTCGCCGCGGCGCGCGCGAAGAAGAAGGCGCTCTGGTTGGCCGCGCACGCGAGCACGCGCCGCTGGTCCTCCGCGGGCGACGGCAGCGGCGCGGCGTCGGCCGCGGCGAGGCAGGCGAGGAGCCGCGTGGACACGGGGCACCGCGCCCGGGCGTTGGAGCTGTCGCAGCTCCACCGCTTGAGCGACGCGGGCGCGCCGCACGACGCGCGGTCGCGGCCGAGGCGGAGCGCGAGGATGCTCTTGGCCGTCTGCTCGTCGCCGTGGTCGTCGACGGCGCCGCCGTGGACGTCGAGGCTCAGCCCCGCGGAGCCGCCGTCGTAGCCGAGCGTCTTCTTGCGCGCGAGGACGAACGTGGGCCAGAGCAGCTCCTCGAGGGCGATGCCGAGGTGCGGCGGCACGCGCGCGGCCCGCGCGACGGCCGCGTCGCCGAGGGGCGACTCGTCCAGGATCCACGCCGCGAACGCGAGCGCGGCGCCGCGCGCGTAGTAGGACCCCTCGTGCGTCGAGAAGGCCACGGCGTGCTCCCGCTCGAAGGCCGCGGCGTCGTCGCGCCAGGCGGCATCCGGCGCCGCGCCGAAGAGCGACGGCGCGTCGAACCACGCGCCGCCGTAGCCGCTGTCCCAGGCCCGCTCGCACGCGGCGCGCTTCCCCGGCGTCATCGCGCCGCAGCCGAGGAGCGCCGTCCGCGCCCAGCCGGGCGTCTGGATCGCCGAGAAGTTGTGCCGCGCCACGTGCCGCTCCAGGAAGCCGCCGCCGGAGAAGAGGCGGCAGCTCGACGCGAACAACGCGACGTGCGAGAACGACAGGCCCAGCGACGCCGCGCGGCGCACGTTCGCCGCGTGCATGCGCGACACCATGCCGCAGGCGCTGCACGTCTCCTCGCGGTCCGACGCGACGTGGACGCGCCCGCCGTCCCACTTCGCCGCGTCCGCCCGGCTGCGCCGCGACAGGTGGACCATGATGTGCGTGCTCGGCATCGTGAACGCCACGAGGTTGGCCACGGCGTCGTCGACGAAGCCCTGGTCCTCGAAGAGCAGCGACGACACGACGAGCTGGGCGGCGGCCGGCCCGGCGACGAGCCAGAGCAGCGGCCCGAGCCCCATCATCGAACAGCCCGGGCGGCACGTTTGGCCTGAGAGAATTAACGCAAACCAAGATTCTCTGGCAGCCCCAAACCTCGAACTTTGTGTGGCTGAGAGCTCCAAACCCCAAATTTCTGTGGCTCAGTTCCCGACGAGAGAGCTCCAAACTCAAACCTTGTGGCCGACGTGCGCCGCCTACAAGTCTCAAACGCAAACCAAGTATTTTCCAACCCTCCAAACCTCAAACCTCAAACGTGCCGCCCGGGTCGACGTCACCTGTGCAACATCTGTGCAACTTTGACCTCGTCGAATGCTTCGACAGCTATGGCTGCCAACTCGCCTCGGTTGCGATGCGCCGGCCGTACAACGCGCGCTTAGAACCGTTCATCAATAGAGCGCCATTCATCAATAGAACACCGTTCGTCATTAGAACGCGGTTCATCGATATGATGCTCCGCCTCGTCGTCGTCACGCTGAGCCTCGCCGCCGCGAGCGAGGTCGTGCTCGGCCCCTTTGGCCCCGTGAGCGGCGGCGCGGACGGCAAGCTGCTCGCGCGCCTGCGCAAGGACAGCCTCGGCCCGCCGGCCGCCGCGGCGTCGGCGCAGATCAATCGGCCCACGGGCCTGCTCGTCCACGGCGACCGGGTCTTCGCGAGCGAGTTCCAGCGGAACCGCGTGCTCGTGGCGCGGACCGCGCGCGCGGCGGCCGCGCGGCCCGAGGGCTCCGGCGCGTGGACCGTCTTCGCGGACGCGGGCCCGCACTGCGCGACGGACCGGCGGACGCGCGTGCTGTCCTGCGCGCGCCTCGACGGCGCCTGGGGTCTGGCGGTCCACGAGGACCTGCTCTACGTCAGCTCCTTCGGCAGCGACGAGATCCTGGCGTTCCACCGGAAGTCGCGCAAGTTCAAGCGGTCGCTCACCGGCGACCTCGACTCGCCCGAGGGCCTCGCCGTCGGCGGCGATTTTCTCTACGTGGCGTCGTTCCTCGACTCGCGCCTCGTCGCCTTCGACCTGAAGCGGGGCGGCCGCCGGACGCTCGCCCTCGGCACGCCCGTCGAGGTCGACTTCGAGGCGCTCGCCTTCGTCCCCGGCCGGTCGCCCTTCGACGAGGCGGCGACGCGCGGCGAGGCCGCGCGAAGCGCCGCGCTCTGGGGGCCGAGCGAGCCCCGGGAGACGGCGGCGCCGTTCGTCGACCGCCTCCGGGGGCCGGAGCAGCTCGCGCTCCTGGGCAACGCGTCGCTCGCCGTGTCGTCGCTCCACGACGAGAGCGTGCTCGAGATCGACGTCGAGAGCGGCCGCCTCGTGCGCGTCCTCGCGGACGGCGCGCGCGACGGCCGCTTCGCGGGGCCCCTGGGCATCGCCGTCGCCGCGCCGGACGGCCGCGTCGCCGACGCCGCGGGCGCGGGCGGCTGCGCGGCCGGGCGCGACCCGCTGCTCCTCGTCGCGTCCTACCGCTCCGACGCCGTCACGGTCCTCGGCGACGCCTGCGACGGGAGCCTGTCCCTCGACGACGACCTGCTCCGCGGGCCGACGGCCATCGCGCTCGACCCGAGCGACGCGGGCGGCGTCTACGTGTCGGCCTACGAGACGTCCGCGGTCCTCTACTTCAACCTCTCCCACGTCGACCGCGACGCCGAGGAGCTCCTGCGGCGCGTGAGCATGGCCGCGCGGCTCGAGTAAGAGTCGGAGGTGAAGGAAGCCCGAAATGGTGCAGTGGCAAGCAAGAGTCCGGCCTCTGTGGCGACGCACATTGGCGGCCGCCGCCGCCGCCAGCGAGGCGCATGGAGCCGCCGGAAGCGCAGGCGCGCCTCGTCGCGGACGCGGAAAAGGCCGGCTACGACAACGACACGGCGTGCCTGGTCAACAGCCGCTGGCTCGCCCACTGGCGGCTCTGGTCGTCGCGGGACGCCTGCGGCGCGCCGGCGCCCGGCGCCATCGACAACGCGTGCCTCCTCGCCGGCGACGGGGCGCTCCAGGGCGGCCTGAACTGGCGCGTCCACTACGACGCGGTGCCGGAGGCCGCGTGGCGCCTGCTCGCGCGGTGGCACGGAGGCGGGCCGCGCCTCGCGTGCGCGGTCGTCGGCGGCGGGCGGATCGCGCTGGAGACCTGCCGCGCCGGCGGCGGCGCGCCGGCCCGGCCGGGCTGCCCCGTCGCGCCGCCGCCGACGGCGGCCTGCGCCGCGTGCGCCGCGCCGCTCGCGGTCGCGCGCGCCGTCGGCTGCGGCGGCTGCCGCGGCGTCGCGTACTGCGACGACCGCTGCCAGCGGAGCCACTGGAGCTCGCACCGCCGCGACTGCGGTCGCTTCGCGGAGCTCAACGCGGCGGAAACCGCCGCGCCCGCCGCGCCGCGGCGGTCGCCGCGGAAGAAGAAGGCCGCCGCCGCCGCCGCGTCGGGCCCCGCGCACGCGACCTTCGGCGCCGCCGCGGCGGCCCCGCCGCCGCCGAGGCCCGACGCGGCGGCCGAGGCCGCGGCGGCCGCAAAGCTCCGCGGGTCCGCGGCGACGGCGTCGTCGACGGGCCTCGCGAACCTGGGCAACACGTGCTACTTCAACGCGTCGTTGCAGTGCCTGTCGCGCGCGGCGCCCCTGAGCCGCCACTTCCTCAGCGACGGCTTCGCGGCGGACGTCAACGAGGCCAACCCCATGGGCTGCGGCGGCCGCGTCGCGCGCGAGTACGCCGCGGCGCTCAAGGTCGCGTTCCACCGCGGCGACCGCGTGCACAGCCCGCACGCGCTCCTGCGGTCCATCGTGCGCCACAACGCCGACTTCGAGGGCCGGCGCCAGCACGACGCCCACGAGCTCCTGACGACGCTCCTCGACGGGCTCCACGAGGATTTGAATAGGGTCCGGGGGAAGAAGCCCTACTTCGAGACGCCCGAGTCGACGGGGCCGCGCGACGACGCGAGGGTCGCGGCGGCGACGTGGGCCCAGCACCGGCGGCGCAACGACTCCGTGGTCGTCGACGCGCTCCACGGGCTGCTGCGGTCGACGCTCGAGTGCCCCGTCTGCGGGTCCGTGTCGACGCACTTCGACCCGTTCTCGACGCTGGAATTGGAGCTCGCGGACGCGCCGGGCCACCGGAGCGTCGACGAGGACGACGACGTCGACGACGAGTTGTGCGCCGACGACTCGGACGACGGCGTCGACGTCGCCGACGGCTTCGTCTCCCTCGCCGAGGACGGCCGCGGCGCGGTGGGCGCGCCGGGCGCGCGGCTGCCCGGGGACCCGGCGGACCGCGCGGCGCTCGTCCGGGGCGCCGCGGCGGCCGCGCTGGGCTGCCCGGCGGACCGCGTCGAAGTCGTGGCCGTCCACGCCTTAGGCGAGCGCGACGTCGACTCCGACGACGACCTCGGCTTCTGCTGCGAGCGGCCCTTCGCCGCGGGGCCGCCGAAGCGCGGGAGCCGCTTCTCCCGACCGGTCGCGATCCGCGACGGCGACGCGGTGCCCCTGGGCGGCGCCTGGCGCGTCGCCGCCTACGCGCGGCCGCCGCCGGAGCACCGCGCCTGCGTCCTCGTCGCCGAGGGCGACGCGGGCGCGCCGCCGTCCGTCGTCTACTACCGGCCCGAGTGGCCCGCGGCGCGGCTCCTCGCGGCCGTCGCGCGCGCCGCGCGCCGCGCCGCGCGCCGCGACTTCGTCCTCCTCGACGACGCGCCGGCGCTCCTCCGGCTCCACGTCGCCGCGCGGCCGCCGCCGGCACCGGCCGACGGCGCCGCGGCCGACGACGACGACGACGGCGCGTCGAGCTCGTCGTCGTGGTGCGCCGCGGAGTCGCGCGCCGCGCGGCGCCGCGCGAGGCGACACGAGGCGCGCGGCGCCGCGCCGGACGACGGCGACGGCACGGCCGGCGGCCTGCTCCGCGGCGCGGACATCGCCGTCGTCTCCGTCGACTGGCCGCGGACGCTCGGCGCCGCGGCCGCCGCGGTCGCGCGCGCGGGCGACGCGCCGAAAACGCGGTCCCGCGACGACGTCGCGCGCGCCGTCGCCTACGCCCGGGCCGCGCGCGCGGCTTCGGCCGCGCTCCGCGCGGACCCGGACCCCGCCGCGGCCGCGCGGCGCCGCGCGCGGCGCGCCGTGCGGTGGCGGTCGCGGCGCGCGCTCGCGCGCGCGGCGCGCCACCGGCGCCGCCGGGAGGCCGTTGAGCCTCGAGGGCTGCCTCCGGCGGTTCACGGCGCCGGAGCGTTGGACGCGGACAACCCGTGGCGCTGCGGGTCCTGCGCGGCGCCGCGGCGCGCCGTGAAGCGCATCGCCCTCTGGCGCGCGCCCGAGATCCTCGTCTGCTGCCTCAAGCGCTTCGGCGGCCGGGGGAAGCTCGACGGCGACGTCGACTTCCCCCTCGACGGCCTCGACCTCGCGCCCTACGTCGCCCACGGCGGGCCCGGCCTCGTCTACGACCTCTTCGCCGCGGGTTCACCGCGTCTCGCGATATCGTCTTCCTTTTTTGAAACCGTCTTCTCCTTAGGTGACGAACCACTTCGGCGCGTCCTTCGGCGGCCACTACACGGCCTTCGCTCGCGACGACGACGGCGGCTGGCTGAAGTGCGACGACTCGGCCGTGTCGCCCGTGCCCGCGGCCGTCGTCAAGTCGAGGGCGGCCTACGTCTTGTTTTACAAGCGGCGCGCGACCTCGTAACTCGAGCTACGAATCATGTGTCTTTATTCGGTTCCAGTGGGCGCGGCGAGCGCTGGAAGCGGGGCCTCGGCGTTCGCCGCGGGCATGACGAGCGAGTCGCGGACGAAGGCGAGGTACGCCGTGGGCACGTAGCCGCTGCTCCGGCTCGTGAGGTGCTCCGCGAAGAGCCAGCCCGACGCCGCGTCGAGCTCGGCCTTGAGGACGAGGACGAAGTCGCCGGCGTCGAGGCTCATCTCCTGGGGCTCCTCCTTGGCGAACGCGTGCGTGGCCTTGCACATGCAGATGCCCGCGCCCGGCGCGTCCGGCGCGGGCGCGGGCGCCGCCGGGTCCGCGGCCGTGCGCGAGAGCCAGTAGCGGCTCACGGCGGAGACGACGCGGCGCGGGGCGAAGATGATGGTCCCGACGCGCTGGAGCGTCCTCTGCGACGCGCGCCGCGAGAGCGCGCGGCCGCCCGCGAGCAGCGCCGCGGCGGACGCGCGGCGCGACGATTGCCGCCGCGCCGGGGCCGGGGCCGGGCCCGGGGCCGCGCCGGGGGACGCGAGGGGCGCGGGCGCCTCGTCGCCGCGCGCGCTCGACAGCTCGCCGTCCCCCGGGAGGAACTCGGCGACCTTGTGGCGCACGAAGGACGCGAGCGACGCCTCGCTCCACTCGCTCACGACGGGGCTCGAGTCATCAAGGAGCGCGTCGGCGGTCACCAAGGTGATCTGGTTGATCTGGTTGATCTGGTTGATCTGGTTGATCTGGTTATATTGGTTGATCTGGGTGATCTGGTTGATCGCGGGGCTCGGCTCCGGCGCGTCGGCGGTGTGGGCGCTCGGCTCCGGCGCGCCGGCGGTGTGGGCGCTCGGCTCCGGCGCGCCGGCGTCGTCGGCGGCGGACGTCGGGGGCGACGAGGCCGCGGCGGCCGACGACGGCGGGAGCTCGTCCCGGGCGTCGTCCGCCGGCGGCGGCGCGTCGCCCCCGTCCTCGCCGGGCGCCGCGGCCGCGGGCGCGCCCGGGTGCAGGACGGATCGCACGACGCCGCCGACGAAGCCCTCGAGCTCCGCGGCGCCGGCCTCGGGCTCCGCGGCCGGCGCCGCGTCGGCCGGCGGCGCGGCGTCGGGCGTCTGCGCGCGCTTGGGCTTCTTGCCGCCCTTCTTCGGCGGCGGCGCGGCCTTGCCGGGCGTCGCGCGGCCGGGCTTGGGCTTCGCGGCGGCGCGGACGGCCCAGCCGGCCGCGCGCGCGCTCTTCCGCGGCGCGGCCTTGGCCGCCGGGCCGCTCCGCGCGGGCGCCTTGCCGCGCCCGGCCTTGGCCGACGCCGGGCGCTCCTTCGCGGGCGCCGCGCGCTCGTTCGCGGGCGCCGCGCGCTCCCGCGGCCTCGCGGACGCGGGGCGTTTCCGCGCGTTCCCCGGCGCCTTCGCCGCCTCCTGCCGCCGCGGCTCGTCGTCGAAGGGCTCGTCGCCGAAGGGCTCGTCGTCGCTAAACGGGTCGCCGAGGGGGTCGTCGCCGAGGAATTCGTCGCCGAAGGGCTCCGCATCCAAGGGCTCGCGGTCCGGCGCCCGCGTCGGTTCGCGCCGAGGCCCCCGCCGGTGGTCGTGGAGGACGGGCTTCGCGCGCTTCGGCTTCGCGTCGTCGTTGTCGAAGGTCAACGCCTCGCCGGGGGGCAGCTCGTAGTTGTTGCGCCGGCCGACGGCGAGCGCGCTCTCCTCCTCTTGCTTTGCCCGCGTCCGCCGGTGGTCGTGGAGGACGGGCTTCGCGCGCTTCGGCTTCGCGTCGTCGTTGTCGAAGGTCAACGCCTCGCCGGGGGGCAGCTCGTAGTTGTTGCGTCGGCCGACGGCGAGCGCGCTCTCCTCCTCTTGCTTTGCCCGCGTCCGGCGGTGGTCGTGGAGGACGGGCTTCGCGCGCTTCGGCTTCGCGTCGTCGTTGTCGAAGGTCAGAGCCTCGCCGGGGGGCAGCTCGTAGTTGTTGCGCCGGCCGACGGCGAGCGCGCTCTCGAGAGGCGGGTCGCTCCAGACCTCCGCGGGCGCCGCGGCGGGCGCCGCCTCGGGGGACCGGAGCTGCTGGAAGCTGTTGGGCAGCGTCGCGACCTCGAAGGACGTCGGCGCGAAGTCCTCCGGGTACGGGTCGTCGCCGGGCGGCGCCGCGCCGTCGCCGGGCGGCGCCGCGGCGCCGCCGCCGGGGCCGCCCTCGAGGCGCCGCGGGTCGTCGTCCGCCGGCGGCGACGCCGGCGACGTCGTCGCCGGCGCCGGACCGCTCCGCTTCTTCTTCGTCGGCGTGCGCCGCGCGACGGCCGCGCGCTTGAGCGTCTGCTCGTAGGGCGTCTCGTCCGCGAGTCGTATCCAGTGGACGTCGTCGTCAGCCCGGACGACGGCGATCTCCTCGAGGGCCTCCTCGTACCAGGGCTTCTGGGCCTGCGCGACGGCCAGGCGGTGCCGCCGGCTGAACGCGCTCGTCTTGTTGAATTCGATCTCCGCGCGCCGCTCCGCGCGCCGCTCCGCGCGCGCCGCGCCGCCGGCCTCGTCGCAGATCACCGTGACCTCGACGGGCGCCGACTGCTCCGCGAACCAGCCGTTGAGCGCCGCCAGAGGCAGGGGCACGCCGTGCATGTAGACCATCGTCGGACCATCCGGCGCTGGGGTTGGGGGCTGCCTCCCAGGGCTGCCTCCCATAGCAGCTCACCCCCCCTTACTCCATCAAGCTGCAGCTCAATGGCGGAGCACGACGAGCTTGCGGCCTCTGGCGCATGGATCGCAGCTGCACATTGGGCATCGGCAACTGCACGGCTCTGTTGTCAGCCACCGTATTGTGACGTGTGACTTGTGAGGCATCGATTGCGCAATGCACGGCGTATTCTTCATGGCGCTCGCGCTCCAACGGGCCGCGAGCCTGTCCATCGCCATCACGGGCAGCTCGCAGGGCATCGGCCTCGACGCGGCGAAGCGTCTGCTCGCCGAGGGCCACACGATCTACCACGGCTGCCGGAGCGCGGCGCGCGCGGACGCGGCCGTCGCCGGCGCCGGCGGCGGCGTGCCGCTGGTCTGCGACCTCGCGGACCTCGCGAGCGTCCGCGCGTTCGCGGCGGCGCTCCCCGACGACGTCGACGTGCTCTGCCTCAACGCGGGCGTCGCGCCGTCGACCAAGGCCGCCGCGCCGGCGCGCACGGCCGACGGCTTCGAGGCGTGCGTCGGCACGAACCATCTCGGCCACTTTGCGCTCGCGGAGCTCGTCGCGCCGCGGCTCGCGGCGCGGCGCGGGCGGATCGTCGTCACGGCGTCGAGCGTGCACGACCCGGCGCAGCCCGGCGGCGCCGTCGGCGGCGCGGGCGGCGCGACGCTCGGCGACCTGAGCGGCCTCGCGAAGCTCGAGGACGGCGGGCCGACGATGGTCGACGGCGCGGCCGCCTACGACGGCGGCAAGGTCTACAAGGACTCGAAGCTCTGCAACGTGCTCTTCGCGCGGGAGGCGCTGGCGCGGTACCCGGGCGTCGACGTGCGCTCCTTCAATCCCGGCTTCATCCCGTCGTCGGGCCTCTTCCGCGCGCCGCGCGAGGACAACTGGCTCGGCGCGACGGCGTTCACGCTCGTCGCGGGGCTGGTCGGCTTCGCGGTGCCCGTGGCCGTGGGCGGCGCGCGCCTCGCCTACGTGGCGACGGCCGACGGCCTCGCGCGAGGCGCGTACCTGTCCGCGGAGACGGGCTCGCGCGCGGTGACGTTCGCGGACGGCTTCGACGACGGCCTCATCTCGCCGGAGGGCGCGGACGCGGACCTGGCGGCGCGGCTGTGGGAGCGGTCGCGGGAGCTCGTCGCCTAAGAAAGCAACTTCCTAGAGCGAAGCGAGATAGGAAGGTGGCTGGCTTCGTTAAATAACTTCAATATGGACTCAGCATCACTTCAGCTTTGACCTCGCTGACTCGGAGCGGAGCTTACCAAGTCTCGGATTCACAGCGTATGATCGAGAGCTTTCAGCTGTAACTTGAGATCCATCGGTTGCCATCCTCTCGCAATGCACCTGAGACGAACGGCTCTCGCCGCCCTGGCGGTCGCTACCACTGTCGTGGCCTTCGCCCCGCCCCGGGCGCCCCGGCCGGCGCCCCGGATTGTGACCGCGAGGCACGTGGACCTGACCACCATCGCCGAGGTCGTGGCGGGCGCGGCGGTCCTGGGCTTTGTGATCACGTCCCAGGACGAGACCAAGGACAAGGAGGAGCTGGTGAAGTTCATTCCCGAGCCCGCGCCCGCGCCCGCGCCCGCGCCCGCGCCCGTCGTGCTCAACGAGGGCGACGTGTCGGAGGCGGACGTGCTCGCCTGCCAGGACAGCTGGGCCGGCGCCATCGCGGCCTGCAGCAAGATCTACGCCGAGGGCGGGGACTACATCGGGGCGGCCGCCGACGCGGCGAACGAGCTCTACGGCTACGGCTTCACGAAGGTGCTCTTCAAGCCGACCAAGGCGGCCGAGTACCCGTTCCGCCCCACGGGCGCCGAGGCCATGTCCTACTTCGTCGGCGGCGGCGTCGTCGAGAACGGCTACGACGAGGACGCGGGCTTCGCGATCAACGGCGGCAACGGCTGGGAGAAGGTCGAGTTCTTCAACCACGGCATCGACCTCAACGGCCCCACGGCCACGGCGATGGGCTACTACATCTTCACCGACGCCACCACCAAGGACAAGGTGCGCGTCGAGTACACCTTCGGGTACAAGCGGTGCTCCGACGGCAAGGTGCGCATCTACAACCACCACTCCTCGGTGCCGTACGGGGCGGCGCCCCCGGCGCCCGCGCCGATCACGGAGGAGGAGGTGCTCGACTGCCAGGCCAAGTGGGCCAACGCCATCAAGACCATCTCCAGCACGTACCTGGCCGAGGGCGACTTCATCGGGGCGGCCGCCGACGCGGCGAACGAGCTGTACGGCTACGGCAAATCGGAGGTCCTGTTCAAGCCCACCAAGGCGGCCGAGTTCCCCTTCCGCCCCACGGGCGCCGAGGCCATGTCCTACTTCGTCGGCGGCAAACAGGTCGAGGGCGGCTACGACGAGGACGCGGGCTTCGCCATCAACGGCGGCAAGGGCTGGAAGGACGTCGTCTTCACGAACCACGGCATCGAGCTCCTCGGCCCGGCCGCCGTCGCCATGGGGTCGTACGTCTTCACGTGCGCCACGACGGGGGACGAGGCCAAGGTCGAGTACACCTTCGGATACCAGCGCAACGACGACGGCAAGCCGCGGATCTTCCTGCACCACTCCTCCGTGCCCTACTCGGCGTGAGCGCGAGCGCCGCGAAGCGGGACGCGACAAAGCGCGGCCGCTTAGTAATATTCAGCCCCGAACGGCAACTCACTCGGCCGCGGCGACGACGCGCGCCGCGCCGCGGCGGCCGCTGCCGACGCCGACGGCGCAGGCGTGGGCGCCGGAGGCGACGGCGTCGACGGCGACGCCGTCGAGGAGGACGCGCGCGGCGTTCGCGACGCAGACCGTGGCCCGGGAATTCGGCGGCACGACGACCGCGGTGGCCGTCGGCGTCGCGTTGACGGCCACGGGCCCCGCGAGCGTCGGGACGACGCCGTTCGCGAAGGTGAGGTTGCCGAGCTTGGGCTTGACCGTGAAGTTCCGCCAGGCCGGCGCGGTCTGGGCGACGCCGAGCACGCCCGCGGAGACGCCGACGAGCGCCGCCGTGCCCCAGGGGTGCGAGTAGGTGCCGCCGGCCCATGACTCGCGCGTCATCGTCGCGCCGGAGTCGCGCATCTCCGCGCACCAGGACTGGGCGTCGCACTTCGTGAGGGCCTCGAGCATCGCGGAGCCGTCGTCGACGTCGCAGGCCGCGAGCGCGCTCAGGTAGATAAACGCGCCGTAGGACCCGAAGCCCTCGAGCCCCCAGGCCTTGACGTCCGCGCACGCCGTCGCCGCGGCCGCGGGCTCGAGGAGGCCGTTGTAGAGGAACCACGCGGCCGTCGTCACGCCCGCGTGGCCGGCGACGTCCGCGCAGGCGCCGTCGCAGTAGCGGTTCGCGCTCGCGTTCCACATGTGCGTCTTCATCGCCGCGTAGAGGGCGTCGGCGTCCGCGGCGGCGGCCTTTGCGACGGCGCCGCCGGCCGTGGCCGCGAGCTTGCGGAGGCCGGCGACGGCGAAGGCCTGGTCGACGCTCAGGTGGTCCGAGGCGCGGAACATGGCGCCGCTCGGGCCGGGGAACCAGTCGACGATGTGGTGGCCCGGGCCCGCGGGCGGGCTCGAGCACTTGTTCGGCGGCTTGCTGCAGCTCAGCAGGCCCGTCGCGTCCGCGTCCGCCGGGTAGCGCGTGTCGTTGCGCAAAAGGTCCGCGTAGGTCTCGGCGACGACGGTCTCGCCCGTCGCCATGTAGTCGGCCCAGGCGAGGAGCGGCGCCATCTGGAGCCACTCGACGGGCCACGTCGGCGCCTCGAGGACGTAGGACACGCTGTGCCGCAGGAGCGCCGCGTCGCGCTGGACCCAGAGCCGCGCGGTGCCCGCGCAGAGCATGTCCGCCTCGTAGGGCCGCCGCTCGCGCGTGTTGCTGTCCGTGAACGTGTCGAGGACGCCGGCCTCCACCGTCCACCGCGCGAGCTCGTAGACGCCGTCGAGCGTCGCGTCGCTCGAATCGAACGACGACTCCGCGGCGTCGTAGGGGTACTCCGCGGTCCACGCGCCGACGTCGAGGTCGGTGGCGACGTCGAAGGACCCCGCGAGCACGTCGACCTGAACGTAGCGGAACTCCATGTACTGGTGGGTCTCGTAGCGCATGGGGCCGCCGCGGAGCGTGAGGTTGAAGACGAAGCCCCAGGCGTCGCCCACGGTGCTGTTCGCGGCGCTCTCGCCCGTCGTCACGCGGAGCACGACGCCGTCGACGCCCTCGGCCGTCGCGAACGTGAGCCCCCCCTCGAACTCGCGGCCGAAGTCGCCGAAGAAGTGGCCGCCGACCTACGAAGACGCGGCGATCGTGTCGCCCGCCGCGCGACGCTGGCGATCGTTTCCCCGTGGCCGCGGGACGCCGCCGGCGACGGCGGCGAGCTTCACCGTCGCCGCCGCGTCGACGATCCGCACGGGCCGCGCGAGCTTCGGCGCGACGGCGCCGACGGCCGCGGCGGGCGCCGCGGCCGTCCAGTCGCCGCCGAGGGACGCGAGGGGCGCCGCGCGCCAGCGCACGGCCGCCGCGTCCGCGCCGAAGGCGGGCTCGAGGCGCGCGTCGGCGTTCTCGAGGCGCACCTTGTACCAGCTCTTGGCGAGGGTCGGGCCCAGGTACGCGTCCGCGTCGAACGCGAGCCAGGAGCCGTCCGTCGCGTAGGACGTCGTCGTCCCGTCGCCGGCGACGACGTCGATCTGCACGAGGACGCCGCGCACCTGGGGGTGGGCGTCCTTCGACGCGACGCCCTGGGCCGCGACGGCGACGGCGCCGCCGTCGCCGAAGAATCGCGTGACGTCGTAGGTGTCGTAGGCGCCGGTCCGGAAGGTCGCGTTCGTGCCGTCGCGGGCCATGGGCGCCTCGCCGCGGCCCGGTCCGCAGCCGAGGAGCTCGCCGGCGACCCAGACCTTGTACGAGCAGAGCACGAAGTCGTCGCCGAGGCCCGACGCGTAGAGCGTCGCGCGCGCGACGCCCTCGACCGCCGGGACCTCGCCGCGGAGGAAGGCGAAGGCCGCCTTGCTGTTCGAGTGCCAGATGAAGGACGCGTTGGGGGCGAAGGCCGCCGCGGTGACAAAGGATCCCGTCGCCGCGGCCGACGCGCCGCACGCGTCGCTCGTCGTGGTCACGGTCCAGGCGTAGCTCGCGCTACCGTTGAGCGCGGCGCCGCCGTAGGCCGCCAAAGCCGTCGGCGAGGCGACGGTGCCGGAGTCCCAGATGACGGCGTCGGCTGCGTCGGTGACGGTGATGGCGTAGGACGTTTGCATCGCGTCCGTGGCGTCATCGCAGGGTGCCACCGCCCAGCGAAACATGGGCGACGTGGACACGCCGAGGGCCGGCACGGGCTTGAGGTCCACGACGAGCTGTGTAGGGGTGCCCGCCCAGGCGTAGGGCAGGAGCAGGAAGGGCAGCATGATGATTCGGCAGAAGGGCAGCATGTTTCGGCAGGCTGCACACACCATGCTTCCGAAGGAAGACGGCAAACTGGCTGCTTTGTCGACATTGCAGTTGTCGTTGCCGCGAGCCCCTCGGCGGGCTGCTGCGAGACGGACGGTCGCGGCCGCGTGGGACACGAGATCAGCTGCAGTTCACGTTACGATGCGAACAACTCAGTCGAACATGTGCTGCGGGTCCCGGGAGAAGCCGAAGGCGTCGAAGTCGCGCGCGTAGAGCCGGCGCACCTTGGCCGCCGTCGCGTCGTCGTAGTAGGCACGCTGGTCCCAGGGCGGCGACGGCTTGAAGGCCGCGGCGGACACGGTCCGCTTCGTCGACGCGCAGCTCGAGACGCAGTGGCGGCTCGAGAAGTTGCGCCGCGGGTAGCCGAGCGCGGCGAGGAGCAGGAGCGTGTCGTCCTGCAGGTTGTTCGTCCTCAGCACGAAGGGGTTGGCCCCTCGCGGCAGGAGCTCCGACGCCGTGCGCACGGGCGGCGCGGCGAGGTTCGCGACCCAGCCGCGGAAGTGGGAGATTTGCTCGCGCTCGTCGAAGCCCCAGGGCTTGATCTCCTGGCCCCCGGAGATTTTCTTGTGCCACGCCGCGCTCGAAATCACGCGTCGAAACGGATTCGCGGCAAGCACGATCAAGAAGTCGTCCGGGCACCGGCCGCGCGGCGGCGCGTGCTCGTGCGAGCACGTGTCCACGTGGAGGTCTTTCGTGAACATGTCCGTGAGCGTCGACGTCCCCGAGTGCTCCGGCAGCAGCGCGACCCAGGTCCTATTCCGCGCAACGCCCCAGCATCCATTGCGGGCTATGCCCGTCGTGCAGCTCTTCGCGCAGGCCGGCTGGGTCTTGCAGGCGTAGCCGCCGTTGCGCGCGGAGCGGCCTTCGCATGAGACGGCGTGCGTCATGCGGCCGTGGCCGTCCGTCTTGAAGCAGCCCGTCGAGGGGCTCGCAGCAGCGGCGGCTAGGAGAGCTGCTGCCCATCTCATCATCTCGCAGCCCATCGCATCACGCCCGAGAGAAATGCAATGTCGACCCATTGATGTCTGGAAGCATGGGCTGCCTCATCAGAGAGATGCTACGCGAAACGTGTTGCTGAGACGACGCCATGGCGGACGCCGACACCATCGCCGCGATGCTCGCGGGCATCAAAATCTACTACATCAACCTCGACCGCGCGACGCTGCGACGCGAGGCGATGGAGGCGCAGCTCGCGCGCTGCGACGACGTCGTGCGCGTGGCGGCCGTCGACGGCGCCGCCGACGCGGCGGCGCCGGCGGCGCGCTTGCAGGCCTGGGGCCTCGAGGACGACGACCGATCGCCGGCGGAGCTCGCGTGCGTCCTGTCGCACGTCGAGGCCGCCGCGCGCGCGCGCGACGGCGGCGGCGACCTGAGCCTCGTGCTCGAGGACGACGCCTGCCTCGCGCACGTCGCCGTACCCCTCGCGGACATCGCCGCGCGCGCGCCGGACGGCTGGACCGTGCTGCAGCTCGCGTGCAACAACGCGGACGCGCAGCGCGCGTCGCTCGCGAACGGCGCGCCGTTCGCGCCGTGGCGCCGCGACCACTGGGGCGCGGGCGCGTACCTGCTGTCGCGCGCCGGCGCGGCGGCCTGCGCGGATCCGTCGACATTCTCGCCGCGGCTCGGCAAGCTCGTCGCCGACGAGGCCGTCTTCTGGCGCGCGGGCGCGTACAGCTACACGCGCCCCTGCGTCGGCGACCTCGCGGTCGACGGGTCCGCGATCCAGTCGGCGGACCACACGGAGCTCGTCCACGGGCCGTCGCGGGCGCTGACCCGCGCCTACTTCTCGGGCGCCTGGCACGACCGCCGCGTGCTCGGCGCGCTCTTCGACGGCCGCGCCGCGCTCGCGCTCGTCGCCCGCTTCGTCGCCGGCGACGCGGACCCGGCCGCCGTCGACGCGTGGGTCGCGGACGCGCTCCAGCGCGGCGCGACGTGGGTCGCGCTCTTCGGGCCGAAGCCGGACGCGCTCGCGGCGCGCGTCGCCTGGCTCGGCGGCCAGGCGACGTGGGGGGCCGCGGCCGCGCCGGACCCGGCCGCCGCAATCGCGGCCGGCCGGCGGCTCCGCGCGCGGCACGTGGTCTGGCTCCCGTCCGGCGCCTTCCTCGCCGGCCCGCCGCTCGCCGCCGCGCTCGACGGCGACGACCCGGCGGCCGCGCGGCGCGCCGCGCGCCACGCGGAGCGGCCGCTCGCCGGCGGCGGCGGCGGCACGGCCTTCCGCCTCGACGGCGGCGCGGGCGCCGGGCCGCCCCACGCGGCGCTCCGCGCCGTCGCGTCGCGCGTCGCCGAAGAAATCCTCCCGCCGCCGCCGGCGCCGCCGCCGGACCACCTCTGCTGGCGCGCCAAGAGCTCCGGCGCCGTCGTCCGCGCGGGCGTCGACAGGGCGAGCGCGGTCGTCGGCGAGGTCGCGCGCGGCGGCGGCGTCGTCCTCGCGCGCGACCCCTTCATACGCGCCGCCGACGGCACGCAGCGCTGCGCCGTCGCCGCGCCGCTCGTCGGCTTCGCGTCGCTCAAGGCCCTCGAGCCCTGGGGCCGCGCGACGACGCTCTACTGGGAGCTCAGCGCGCTCCGGGACCGCGCCGCGGGCGGCGCGGCGTACTGGAGCGACGGCTCCGACGACGGCTCCGACGACGAAAGCGGCGACGCGCCCGCGCGCGCCTACGACCCCGTCGAGCGCTGGGCCGCGGGCGCGCGCGCCTTCGGCGATCTGGCCGCGCGCGCGCGCTACGCGGTCCGCGGCGCCGAGGCCCGCGCGGGGCCCGGCCGCCTCTCGGCGCCCTGCGCGCTCGACGAGGCCGCGTGGGCCGCGGGCGCGCCGCCGGGCCCCTGGCCCTGCCGGGGCCTCGCGCTGCCGCCGCGGGGCGCGGTCGCGGGCCGCGTCTCCGTCGTCTGCCCGACGACGTTTGCGCGGCGCCCCTTCCACGCGCTCCTCCTCGCGAATGCGCGGTGTCAGACGTGGCCCGACGTCGAGCTCCTCGTCTACGACGACGGGCCGGCGCCGTCGCCCCTGCTCCGCGGCGCGCGGGACTGCCTCTACGTCCACGGCGGCCGGGACCCGCGCCTGTCGCTCGGCGAGAAGCGCAACCGGCTCCTCGCGCTCGCGACGGGCGAGTACGTCGCGAACTTCGACGACGACAACGTCTACGCGCCGACCTACCTCGAGGCCATGGTCCGCCGCCTCGACGCGTCTGGCGCGGGCCTCGTGTCGCTCGACGAGGCCTGGGTCGCGACGCTCGCCGGCGCCGCGGCGAACGGCGCGGACGCCTGCCGGCGCCTCGGCGGCTTTCACGCGCGCGGCGAGACCTTTCTCCACCGCAACGTCGCCCTCGCCGCCGCGGCCTACGCGCCGCTCAACGTCGGCGAGGAGGTCGGCCTCCTCGCGGCCCTCCCGAACACGGCCGTCGTCGACGACGTCGGCCTCTTCCTCCACGTCGAGCACGGCCGCAACACCGTCGACTTCGAGCTCCTCGACGGGAGGGAGGAGGACGTCGCCTTCACCCAGCTCCTCGGGCGCGCCGCGCTCCCGGCGGCCGCGCCCCTCCGCGGCTCCTGGCCCGCGCGCGAGCTCGGCGAGCTCTGGCGCGCGCTCGCCGCGGCCGACGCGCCGCCGCCGGTGCCGCCGGACGCGGCGGCGACCCCGGAGCGGGGCGCGTGACGTTACGGGGCGCGCATGCCGAGCCGGAGTCGCCGCGCGGCGTGCGTCATGTCGACGCCGTGGCCGGCGCGCCGCGGTTGGCGCCCGGAGGCGCGCCGGAGAATGGGCTGGGGCCGGATGCGCGTGCCCGCGGGCGCAGGGTAGCGCTGCCAGTCCGCGCGGTCCGCGCGCGCGCGCGCGGATCGCGCGCGCCGACCGGCCGCGGCGTCGGGCGGCGGCCGCGCGACGGGCCGCGCGGACGCCTCGTAGCTGACGATGCGGCCCCGGCCGTGGGCCCGCGAGACGCCCGGCCTGCCGGCGGCCGTGGGCTCGGCCTCCTCGAGGAGCGCGGCCCGCCGGTGCTGCCCGAGCGCGCCCGTGAAGAGCGACGCCGTGTGGCCGAGCAGGAGCTGCGAGTCCGCGCCGCAGACGTCGCTCTCGACGCGCTTCGACCAGCGGTCGCCGCGGCTCGTCCGCGGCGCGGCGGCGTCGGCGCCCGCGGTCGCGTCGGCGTCGCCCGCGAAGCCGCTGTCGAACTCGCGGTCCCAGCGGCCGCGGTGCACGAGCTCGCGCTCGGGCTTCGCGTACGCGCTCGGGTCCGCCGTGCCGTGGCGCTGGACCATGGCGAGCTCGCGCGAGAGCTCGGCCACGGACACAACCTTCTCCGTGTGGTGGATGTGCTTCTCGGCGATGGCGGACTTGAACAAAATGGACTCGGGGGGGCCCTGGGTGTGCGGCGTCGCCTGTCGCCGCGCGGCCTGCGGCCCCGGGAAGAGCGATGGCTGCTCGACGGTCGACACGCGGCGGGCCGCAGCGCGCAGGCGGTCCATGGGGGTGTCGCTCTGGGGGCAGCCTTGCCGTGCACCAAAGTGCGTTGAGCTTTCCAACGGGATGCCTCACCAAGCGCGACAGACAGAGCCTCCTTACCCGCGCCTAGAAGACGAGGCGCGCGACGGGGATGCGGACGGGGACGCGGACGGGCACGCGCGCCGCGAGGGCCGCGAGGCGCCCGACGAACGCGAAGCGCGCGGGGTACGCCGCGAATTTGGGAATCGCGCGGATCGCCGCGAGGGCCCGCGCGACGCGCCGGGCGCGCCAGAGGACGAGCCCCTGCGGGACGAGGAACGCGGCGGCCGCGTGCGTGAGCGCGTGCGTCGCGACGCGGCGCACCAGGGCCCGGCCGCGGCCGGCCGGCGCGGCCGCGGCGGCCGCGGGCGCGGCGAGGCGCAGCGGCGCGGCGGCGTCCGCCGGCGCGGGGCCGGGCGCCGCGCAGCAGACGACGACGGGCGGGTCCGTGTGGACGAAGAGCACGCAGGCGCCGGCGTCGAGCTCGTCCGCGGACGGCGCGCGGACCGCGGGCCGCGGCCGCGCGAGCGCGGACCGGACGGCGAGGCAGACGAAGGACGCGTTGAGCGCGAGGACGGCCAGCGCGAGCCGCAGCGCGCCCCGCGCGCCCGCGGCGCGCCGCGACTTCGGCTTGGCGGAGACCGCGCGCGGCGGCGGCGCGGCGTAGACCGCGCGCGGCGGCGCGACCTTGGGCGACGCGTAGCCCTCGACGTCCTCCGTGGGCGTGACGCGCGACGGCGGCGCCGCGCGCTCGACCGCCGTCGTCGGCGGCGTGAGCGCGCAGAACTGGCTCCAGCTCGACTCGCTCTCGAAGTAGTCGACGCGCGGCGGCGTGAGCTTCGGCGACGAGCCCGCGTCGACCGTGATGGGCGTCGGCGGCGGCGCGGCTTCGGCGGGGGGCTCCGCGGGGGCCTCGGCGGGGGCCTCCGCGGGCTCGGGCTCGGCGTCGGGCTCCGCGGGATCCACGGGCTCGGGCTCCGCGGGTTCCACGGGCTCGATGACGGCGTCGGCGGGCGCGGCCTCCGCGGGCTCGGCGACGGCGTCGGCGGGCGCGGCCTCCGCGGGCGCGACCTCCGCGCGGGCGCAGCACTTGTCGAGCAGCTTGACGAGCGGCGCGTCCGCCGCGTCGACGTTCGGTGGCGAGTTCTCCTTGTCCATGGTCGCGAGCGTCGTCGGCCGGCGCATGGGACGCCGCAGCGCGCTCTGCGCCCGGAGCCAGCGCATTGCCGGCGGGCCGTAGCGCGACGAGAGGTCGTGGACGAGCTCGTCCGCGCGGCCCTCGTAATGCTTGAGGATCAGATCGATGCGGCTGGGGATAGCGTTGTCCGCGTTAAAGAAGCTGTAGAAGTTCAGTAAGATTTCGCTGTTCATCACGATGCTCCAGCACTCCGGCGGCGTCGTGCGCGTGAGCCGCGGCGTATTCTTCGCTGTGAGCGGACGCCTTTGGCGGCGCATCTCGTCCTCCGTCATCACTCGACCGCGTGCCAAACAAGCCAAGTTGTATGCTCGTGGAGATTACAGCCGAGCGTCGAACCAGTCAAGCTGTATACACGCAGACGCTACGCGAGTGTTCCAAGCCAGTCAATGTACGTGGACGTGGACGAAGGTCACGTAGAGGAGCCGTGCGGTGCTGTCGCCGACGAAGAGCACGAGCGGCGCCTCCGCGGCGAGGGCGCGCTCGAGCTCGCCGCCGCGCACAACCGAGTCCGGCCTTGGGCCAAAAGCCACCGACTTTTCGGCACCATCGACCCAAAACACATACCGTAGCAACGAGCCGTAGAGAAACCTCCGAAGAAGACGATTACCCGCCTCAAATTTCCTAGTTCTCCTTCTTCGCGCCGAGGCAGTGGGTCTCGACGAAGTGGCGGAGGTTGTTCTCGTTGGCGCCGGAGAGGGCCCCGGCGAGCGCGCCGTCGCGGTAGACCTGGAACGTGGGCATCATCGTGACCTTGGCGGCCTCGGCGACGTCCTCGAGGTCGTCGACGTCGACCTTGACGAAGGTCGCGGCCTCGTCGAAGGTCGCCGCGAGGCGCTTGAAGAAGGGGTAGATCTTCTGGCAGGGCTTGCACCACGGCGCCGTGAAGTCGACGACGAGCGCGCGGCCGCCGGCCGTCGCGGCGATTTTCGCCTGCCAGTCCTCCGCGGACCTGCGAACGCGCGGCGTCGCGCGACGCGCGCTCGTCCGCGCGAGCGGGCGCGGGCCGCGCGCGAGACGTAGGGCGTGTCGGCGAGCTCGGCGTCGGGCCGGTCGTCGAGCGCGCGCGTCGCCTCCGGCGGCGCGGCGTCCGCGCGGCCGAGCAGCCGAAGCACGGGGCCCGCGCAGCGCTCCCACAGGTACTTGAGGCCGAAGAGCACGAGGGGCCAGATGGCGTTGATCGGGATGCACACACCGCCAAAACAGATCAGTCCGCCGCTCATCGCGCCGCTCGCACGCGCCGCGCGGCGTCGACGATTCGTGCGTGGGTCGGACGGCGCGGCGGCGAAGGCGTGGGGGACGCAGGCGCTGGCGCGGTCGACGGACGCGCGGCACGCTGTGCCACAAGGCCTGTGGCAGATCGATTGCACTCGAGTATGGGCGTCGAAGTTCGTCGTCCGGAGCGACCCATGTTCGTGGCCCTGATGCTCACGGCGGCGCTCGCGTTTCGCCCGTCGACCCCGCGGCGACCGGCGTCCCGCCTCCGCGCCGGCGACGCGCCCGAGGGTCCCGCCTGGCGGAGCGAGCTCGACGCCATCGACGAGGCCATGTGGCGGCGGCTGCGCCGGGAGCTCTACGGCGGGCCGGACTGCGGCGCCCCGTCGTCGCTGCGGCGCTTCGAGGAGTACTGCGGCCTGCGGCGCGCGAACGTCGCCGACGACTTCCGCGTCGTCGACGGCGGGCGCCGCGCGATCTACCTCGAGGAGCAGTACCCGAACCTCACGGCGCGGGCCATCTGGGACGCGGGCGACTTCGGCTGGATCGAGCGCGTCGTGGCCCGCGTGCCGGACCTGCGGGAGGAGGTCGCGGGCCGCGCGCTCGGCTGGCGCGAGGGCAAGTGGGTCGACACGTACGGCCACGACGGCGCGTACGACAGCGGCTGGGGCATGGTCCACCTCCGCGACGACCGCTTCCCGCGGGCGACGCGCGCCCTCGCCGGCGCGCCCCTGGCGCCGCGCTACGCGTCCATCGCGCGCCAGCGCGCGGGCCGCGCGATCCACACGCACAGCGACCGCGTGCCGTGGATCCTCACGTGCCACGTGGCCCTCGAGGGGCCCGACGACGCCGCCTACATGGTCGTCGACGGCGAGCGGCTGCCCTGGACGCCGGGCCGCGCGACGGTCTGCGACACGACCTTCTTCCACTCCGCGCACAACGACCACGCCGCGCGCGACATGCACCTGCTCCACGTCGACTTCTACCACCCGGACCTCGGCGACGACGAGCGCCACGCCCTCGGCCTCCTCCACGCCTACGAGGCGGACGCCGCCGCCGACCGCCGCGCCGCGCTCGCGCCGGGCGTCTCCGCGCTCGAGGCCGCGTTCCGCGCGTCGTCCGCGGAGAAGTAGCGGGGGCGAGGGCCGCGGCGCCGCGCATGTATTATACCGGGGATGGACATGCCCGCTCGCCGATCGAGAGGTCTCCGCCCACTTTTTAAGGCTAGTGGCCGTAGGCCTTGGCCGAGGCGCCGCGCGTCGCGGCCAAGGCCATGAGCGCGGCCATGGCCGCGAGGCAGGCGCCGACGAAGAGCACGAGGCCCGCGTAGATGGGCCGGCGCCGCCGCCGGAGCGCCGCGGGGAGCGCGTCGTCGGGCCCCGCGTCGTCGAAGTCCGCGACGTGGGTCAGGTGGCCGCGGAACCAGGCGGCGACGGACGCCTCGTCGCGGAGCGGCCGGTCCGCGGCGAGGCGGAGCGCGAAGGGCGCCGCGAGCGCGAGCGGAGCGACGAGCATCGCGCCGGACATGGACACGAGGAGCGTGAAGGCCTTGGGGCTCATGAAGAGCCAGCCGACGGCCCAGGGCGCGCCCGCGCCGAGCGCGAGCGCGGCGCGCTCGTCGAGCTCCGTCGCGAGGTTCCGCGTGGCCATGACGCAGGACACGGGCACGCCGGACGCGATGACGAGCCAGCCGAAGGCGAGCGCCGCGCTTCGGACGGCCCAGGGCGTGCCCTTCTCCGCGAAGTAGGTCAGCGCGTTCCAGTCGAGGCCCTCGAGCGCGGCGCCGCAGACGAGGCCGAAGACGACGAAGAACGCCGTGCTCAGCGCCGCCGTCGAGTAGACGACGCGCGACGCGCGCACGTCCGGCTTCTTCTCGTTGAGCCACGTGCTGATGAAGATGCCGTACATGAGGTTGAAGAGCACGAGGCCGCTCGTCTTGTCCTGGGAGCCCGACGCGGCCCGCAGCGCGAAGCCCTCGGTCGCCGCGCGGAGGAGGCCGTGGCCCGCGAAGACGACGAGGCACGCGAGGCACGCGGCCGCGGACGCGTACTGCAGCCCGAGCGACGCGCGGATGTCCGTGAGGCAGAAGGGGACGAGCGCCGCCGCCGTCAGCGCGTAGCCGAGCGTGAGCACGATCTCGCCGTGGAAGTCCTCGCCCGTGAAGAAGGGCTGGCACGACGCGCGCTGGCCGCAGTGGTCGAGGGACCACGACCGCAGCCGCAGCGGCTCGGCCCACGAGTCGAAGACGAAGACGCCGTAGGATCGGCCGAAGGCGTAGGCGAGGGCCGTGTCCGTCGTCGACGCGACGGTCGTCACGGAGCTCACGACCTGGATCACGGCCGCGAGGTAGAAGCCCACGTGGCTCGCGACGTACGCGCGCTCGCCGATCCACTCGCGGAACGGCGCGCCGAACTCGACCTTTTTCGTGAACTCGGCGTTGCCCGGCATGAGCGCCACGGTCTCGCAGCGCACGACCGTCGCCAGGGCCGCGAGCGCGCCGCCGGCGGTCAGCAGGATCGTCGGGAAGAGCCAGCCGGAGACCTGGTAGAGCTTCGGGAGCGCGACGACGCCCGGCCCGATGATCGCGTTGACGAAGACGACCATGGAGTCGCGCTCGTCGAGCGTCTGGCTCGTCTCGTTCTCGTTGGGTATGCTGTCGTAGTTATCCCTCGGCCTCTCGCGCCCACCGAGCAGGCGGTCCATGGACGTCGAGATCTTCATCATCGTGGCGTGAGGCGTCGCTTATCTAGGGAGGTTCGCGGGGGTACCACTTGTGTGATCACGGCGTCATCGCACACGGCTACGGTCGCGAACGGTCGACTAGGGGGGTGCCCGCCGAGGGCAAAAGGCGTCTCGTGTGCGCGCGGAGGTGATCCAGCAATCGACGAGGTGGTGGAGTTTCGATCGACGAGCCGCCGGCGATTCCTCCACAAGCACCTCATTTCTAAATTTCCCTACAGGTGTCTACAGGTGTCCCGGTAGGTTTATTCATCTGCCGTATATTCCGAGCTCGTCACAACAACCACGACGAAATCGAAGCGGAACACGCCAAAATGCGCGATGTCTGCAAGAAGAAACCTTCAAAAGAAGACCCGAGGCGATTACGCGCGGGCGCGCTACTCGTCGTCCTGGACGAAGGCGATGAGCATCTGGTCCGCGGCGACGACGTCGCCGACGTCCGAGAGGAGCTTGTCGACGACGACCTTGTGCTCCGCGCGGAGGATGTTCTGCATCTTCATGGCCTCGACGATGGCGAGGGGCTGGCCCGCCTCGACGGTCTCGCCCTCGCCGACGGCGTAGGAGAGGAGCGTGCCCGGCATGGGGCACTTGAGGCCGCTGAGCGAGTCGGGCTTCGGCGGCGGCAGGGCGAACTTGGCGAGCTCGGCCTCGTTGGGCGACGACACGGCCGCGTCGACGCGGACGCCGCGGACCTGTGCCGAAACCAACCACTGGTTTGGGGGGTCCCCACCAAACTTGAGAATTCTCTAGCTCGGTCAAATCAAAGTCGATTCGGCTGATTTTTGGACGGATCGATCGCTCTCGTCGAGTTCTCGAAGCACAGTGAAAGAGTCTGGTCCAAATCGTTCGAATACGCTCACATTGAAGTCGGGTTGAATATTTGGTTTCGGCACAGCCGCGGACGCGGAGCGCGTGGTCGAAGCCCGGCGCGGGCGCCGCGTCGACGTACTGCACGCGGACCTCCTCGCCGGCCGCGGAGTCGTAGGCGACGACGGCGTCGACGAGGGGCCTGGGCCAGGCGTAGTTCCGCAGGACCACGGCGGCGCCGTCGACGACGTAGGCGTCCGGCCCCGCGCCGGGCGACACGTCGAACGTCGCCCGCGCGGCGGCGTCCGCGCGCGGCGCGAGGGCCACGACGGCGGGCGCCGGCGGCGGGTTCGCGCCGCGCGCGGCCCGCGCGGCGGCGTCGACGGCGTAGGCGAGGGCCGCGAGCTCCGGCCCCGCGGTACCGCAGCCGGCGACGCCCGCGAAGACGCGGGCCTCGTCGAAGCCCGCGGCGTACTCCTCCTCGATGAACTTGGTCGTGTAGGTGCCCGAGAGGAAGGTCGCGTTGCCGCAGATGTCGCGGCAGAAGGGCACGTTGTGGGCGAGGCCCTCGACGACGTAGCCGTCGAGCGCCGCGCGCGCGTTCGCGAGCGCGTCTTCCCGGTCTTTGCCCGTCGCGACGAGCTTGCTGATCATGGGGTCGTAGTAAATCGATATCTCCGCGCCGTCCTCGATGCCGCTGTCAACGCGCACGGACGCGGCCTTGCCCGTCGCCGTCCAGCCCGCGCCGAAGTCGAAGTGGCTCGCGCCCGGCGGGTCGCCGTACGCCGTGAGCACGCCGACGTCCGGCAGGAAGTTCTTCGACGCGTCCTCGGCGTAGACGCGCGCCTCGACGGCCCAGCCGTCGATGGGCACGAAGCAGGGGTCGGCCCCGGCGCCCAGGAGCCGGTCCGGCAGCCGCTGGCCGTCCGCGACGAGCAGCATGAGCTCGACTAGGTCCTCGCCTGTGTGGAAATCAAATATTCAACCCGACTTCAATGTGCGCGTATGCGACCGTTTCGACGCGAGGTTTTCTGCTGTGCTTCGAGAACTCAACGAGAGCAATCGGTTCGTCCAAAAATCAGCCAAATCGACTTCGATTTGACCGAGCTAGAGATTTCTGAAGTTTGGCCCCGACGTCCCAGCTCACTGGTTGATTTCCACACAGGTCCTCGCCCGACACGGCCTCCGTGATGGGGTGCTCGACCTGGAGCCGCGTGTTCATCTCGAGGAAGTAGAAGGCGCCCGTCGCGCCATCCACCAACATCTCCACGGTCCCCGCGGACTCGTAGCCGACGGACCGCGCGAGCATCGCGGCCTCGCGCTGCATCTCCGCGCGCAGCGCCGGCTTGTCGCTCAGAAAGGGGCTCGGCGCCTCCTCGACGACCTTCTGGTTCCGCCGCTGCACGGAGCACTCGCGCTCGGGGAACGTCGCGACGTTGCCGAACGCGTCCGCGACGACCTGGATCTCGAGGTGCCGCGGCGACTGGACGAACTTCTCGACGAGCATGCGGTCGTCGCCGAAGCTGCGCACGGCCTCGTCCTTGGCCAGGGGCCACTGTTCCTCGACGTCCTTGGCGTCGAAGGCGACGCGCATGCCCTTGCCGCCGCCGCCCGCGGACGCCTTGAGCATGACCGGGTAGCCGATGTCGGCCGCGATCGCGAGCGCGTCGGCCACGTCGGCGACGGCCTCGGCGCCGCCGGGGATGACGCTCACGCCCGCCGCCGTCGCGATCTCCTTGGACCGCAGCTTGTCGCCCATGTCGTCGATGGCCGCCGCCGGCGGGCCGACGAACGCGTGGCCCGCCGCCGCGACGGCGCGCGCGAACTCCGCGTTCTCGCTGAGGAAGCCGTAGCCCGGGTGCACGCAGTCCGCGCCGCTCGACGCCATGCACCCGAGCACGGCGTCCACGTCCAGGTAGCTCGTCGACGCCGCGTTCCCGTAGCCCACCTGCACGGCCTGGTCCGCCATGCGCACGTGGCGCGACAGCGCGTCGGCCTCGCTGTGGATCGCCACGGTCTCCAGGCCCATGCGCTTCGCCGTGCGCATGACGCGGCACGCGATCTCGCCGCGGTTCGCCACCAATATCCGCTTCAAACCCAAGGCCTTGGGCGCGGCCATCGTTTCTGCCAATCGGGAGCTTCTGCCACTCGGGGATTTCTGGCTGCACGGTGAGGCCTCGAGGTTGAAGCCCAAGTTGAAGAGGGGCCTAACGTATCCCGCCGGCGGGATGCGTCACTCCCACCCCACCGCGAGGGAGATAAGCGAGGGCGCCTTACCCGCCGGCGCGCGCGCCGCGGCCGCGCCTAGGCCTTGACGCGCTCCATGTACTCGCGCTCCGCGCACTTGACCTTGATCGTGTCGCCGATCTCGACGAAGAGGGGCACCTGGATCTCGGCGCCGGTCTCGAGGGTCGCCGCCTTGCTCTGGCCGCTGGACGCCGCCTTCTTGAGGCCCGGCTCCGTGTACGTGACCTCGTACGTGTCGGAGCTCGGGAGGTTGATGTCGACGACGACCTCGCCCCACTTGACGATGGACACGGTCATGCCGTCCTTGAGGAGGTCGCAGCTCGCGATGTCCTCCTTCTGGACGCGGATCTCGTCGAACTCGACGCTGTCCATGAAGACGATCTCGTCGCCGTCCTCGTAGGAGAAGACCGCCTCGTTGCTCTCGACCTGGGCCTGCTGGAACGACTCCGTCATGCGGAACGTGTCCTCCACCGTCGCGCCCGTCACGAGGTTCTTGAGCTTCGTGCGCACGACCGCGGCCTGGCGCGCCGTCTTCGACTGCTGGAACGACATGACCTTCCAGACGCCGTCCTGGTACTCGATGGTCAACCCGTTCTTGAAGTTGCCCGGCGTCACGACGCCGGCGGCCAGCGGCGCGCAGCGCGGCGCCGCGACGCGGCCCACGGGCGCGAAGGCGCCGCACGACGCGACCAGAGCGAGCAGACCGAAGCGCGACCACGCCATAGCTGCGGAGCGTCAGATTGCAAAGCTCAAGTAGGCTAAAGTTGATCTCCTTGCCCTCTCATAAAACCTTGACGCAAAGGCAGCCCCGTGCCGCCATCAATATCGTCGTCACACGCATCATCAACCGAAGATGCTGCGCGCCGCCATCGTCCTCGCCGCCGCGCTGGCCGCGCACGGCGCCTCGACGCCGCGGCGGCGCCTCGGCGCGCTGCGTCGGCGGGACGCGCCGTCGGCGCGCCGGGCCGCCGCGCCGTTGGACGTCCAGGGCGGCGGCGCGGCCGGCGGCGGCGACGGCGTCGCGGCCCGGGCCGAGCTCGACGGCGCCGTCTTCAACCTCGTGAACAACGTCGCGGGCTGCGGCTTCCTCACGCTGAGCTCGGGCATGGCCGGCTCGGGCTTCGTGCCGTCCGTCGCCGTGCTCGCCGCGCTCGGCGCGATCTCCTGCTTCACGTTCCTCGCGCTGGGCGAGGAGTGCGCGGCCTACGGCGCGACGGACCTCCGGGGCCTCTGGGCCAACGCCGTGAGCGAGGACACGGCCTGGCTCGTCGACGCGTCCGTGGGCCTGTTCTGCGGCGCGGCGCTCGTCATCTACCACGGCGTCGTCGGCGACGTCTTCGGGCCCGTGGTCGGCCGGTGGGTGGCGGGCGGCCACGCCACGGCCATCCTGGCCGTCGCCGCGGGCTGCCTCTGGCCCCTCTGCCAGCTCGACCTCGCCGCGCTCGCGCGGTTCTCGCTCGTGGGCTGCGCGTCCGTCGCGGCGACGGCGTGCGTCATCCTGCTCCGGAGCGTCGACGGCTCCTACGCGCCCGGCGGCCGCTACTTCGACGCGCCGGCGACGCGCGCGGGCGGCTGGCTCGGCCTCGCGCCGAAGATGCTCGTGCTGAGCAGAGCAGGAAAAGAGTGCTTCATTCCGCGCGCGCGCGTGCCGGAAATAGCATCCACGCGTCGAGAGCGCTCCGAGAGATGATCGCTCGTCCAAAAATTAGCCGAAACGAGTGGAAAATGACCGAGAGAGGCGCCTCCAAAGTTGGGAATTTCGCACTCTTTTCCTGCCCAGGTGCTGAGCGCGAACCTGGGCCTCGCGTACATCGCGCACTACAACGCGCCGCCCCTCGCGGGCTCGCTCGCGCCGGGCCGGGAGCCCGCGGAGGCCGCGCGCGACTTCTCCGCCGTGACCGTGCGGTCCTTCGCCGTGCTGATCGCGCTCTACGCGGCGGTCATGGTCGCGGGCGCGGCCACGTTCGGCGACGCGGCCGCGCCGAACCTCATGGTCAACTACGCCGACGCCGACGCCCTGGCGCAGATGGCCAAGCTCGCGACGGGCGCGTCCATCATCTTCGGCTTCCCCCTCGTCTTCTCCGCGTTCGCGAACTGGGCCTACTCGCTCGCGCCCGCGCCCGTCTTCGCGGCCCTCAAGTCGTCCAAGGCCGCGAGGCTCGGCGCGTCGGGCCTGCTCATCCTGCTCACGGTCGTCGTCGCCCTCAACGCGTCGGACATCGGCCTCCCCGCGGGCCTCGCGGGCTCGCTCCTCGGCGGCTTCGTCGTCTACGTGCTCCCGGCGGCCGTCAAGTGGCAGCGCGCGGCGACGGCCGCGGAGATGGCGGGCTGCGCGGGGCTCGCGGGGCTCGGCGCCGTGCTGGCGCTCCTCGGGGCGTCCCAGGTGCTCGCCCAGTACGGGCTGCTCTAGGCCGCGCGCGGCCTTTTTTCGCCGTCCTAATCTCATTGGAGCGGCGTCCCTGGATTCTCTCGCAAGTGTCGACACGACGGAGAAAAAAAAGAGAACTGGCGCAGTGAAGGTCGAATCGAACGACTGGGCATCTCTGCCCCTACCGATTTGAAGTCGGCACCCCACACCAGTGAGGATCATCTCTGCCTGTTGCGAACCGTGGATGTGGATGTCGATTTTGCGCGCGGACGATCGCCCGGCGACGATCACCCGAGCTCCGGCTGAGCCAGAGATTTGGATGCCTGCGATGGCAGTGTAACATCGATGTATTGGGGCGGAGTGCGATGCGTCGCTGACCCGCACACGGGCGAGCCGACCACAGAAGCGCAGCGTATCCTTTATGCCGACGCCGACGAGTACACGCTCCTGCTCTTCCTCGACAGCGAAACGCGGCGCATCCTCCTCGAGGTGCCCAACGCGCTCGGCTGGCGCCTGCACTACGGCGCGCGCGGCAAAGACGTCGCCGCGGCCGTCGCGGCGTCGGGCGTCGTCGGCGCCGGACCCGCGGACGCGGTCGGGCTCATGCTCTTCACGTTCCGCGGCGCGCCGGACCGCGCGATGCGCGTCCGCGTGCACGCCGTCGCCGTCGCGGCGCCGCAGCCCGCGGGCGCCTTCGTCGCGTACGACGCCGTGCCCTACGAGTCCATGTGGCGCGACGACGCCCTCTGGCTGCCCGGCGTCCTCGACGGCTCGGGCCGCGCGTTCGCCGGCCATTTCGTGTTCGCGGGCGGCCCGGGCAAAGACGCGCCGCTCGTCGCGCACAACTGCGCGTCGTCGCCGAGGAACGACGCGCCGCTCGTCGCGTGCGCGTCGTCGGAGCTCCCCGTGCGGTCCTACTACCGGGGCGCCGCGCCGCGCGCGGGGACCGTCGCCATCGCGCGGCGCGCCGGCCGCGACGTGGCCGCCGCCGCGCTCCTCGCGGCGATCGACCCCGCGGCGGACCTCGCGCGCTGGGCGCCGCTCGCCTACGACGACGGCCGGGGCGGCTGGGTGCCGCTCGACGACGTCGCGACGGTGCGCGTCGACGCCGCCGAGGCCCGCGTCGAATTCGTCGACCGGTGCCAAAGCGCCGCGATATCGACACCGCCGCGCGACGGCTTCTTCGGCGTCGGCATCGTGCGGGGCAAGACGGGCGGCAACGACGGCGTGCTCTGGCGGTCCGCGGCCCAGCTCGGCGCGGCGTTCAGCTTCAGCGTGGGCGCGCGCTTCGGCCGGCTCGACGGCGCGACGGACGCGATCGACGCGTGGAAGACGGTGCCCAATTTTCGCTACGACAGTTTCGCCGACTTCGCGAAGAGCTCGCCGCGGGGCGCGGCCTGGGTCGCCGTCGAGATGGGCGGCGAGCCGCTGGAGACCTTTGTGCACCCGGACCGCGCGGTCTACTTTTTGGGGGCCGAGGACCACGGCGTGCCCAAGGACGTGCTGCGCGCGTGCCGCCACGTCGTCTCGCTCCCCGCCGCGCGGTCCGCGTCCTACAACGTCGCCGTCGCCGGTGCTTTGGTCATGTACGACCGGCTGTCGAAGCGGAACCGGCCGGCGGCGCCGCCGCCGCCGCCCCGTTTGGCGGTCCGCGACGACGCGCCCGAGCGGGACGCGCCCGCGCGCCTGCCCGTCGTCCTCTTCCAGCGCGACGCGGCCGCCGCGCCGCGCGTCGCGGCCTACCTGCGGTCGCGCCACGGCCTCGCCGCGCAGCGGCCCTCGGCGCGGCCCGGCGACGCGGACACGCTCGGCGGCCTCGAAATCAAAACGCTGGCAACGCTCGGCTTCGCCGTCGCCTCGCCCGGCGACGGCGACGCGGCGCGCGCGGCCGCCGCCGTCGCCCGCGACCCCGTGATCGCCGGCGCCGCCGTGCCGCGCATCCTCGTGCTCGAGCGGCGCGCCGCGGGGCTGGAAGGGATCGGCCTGGACCCGGCGCTCGCGTACCGCGTCGCCGCGGCGCCCAAGGCCCTGGAGCGCCGCGTCGTCGCCGCGCTGCCCGAGGCGATCCGCCTCGACCCCGTGGGCGCGACGCACGTGCTGAGCGTCGTCGAGACCGACGGCGGCGTCCTCTACGGCGTCGCCGCGAGGGAGCGGATCCCCGCGGCGACGCCGGGCAAGCCGCCGGCGGGCTTCGCGGTCCTCGAGGAGCTCGCGCGGCGGGGCGCGCTGCCCCCGGCGCCGCGGGGCGCCCTGGTCGTCGTCCTCCCGGGCTGCCCGCCGGGCTTCGCCGCCTACCTCGCGCGCCGCGGCGACGCGGTCGACGCCGGCGGCGGCGGCGGCGGCCCCGTCGCGGCGCTCTTCGCGGACGGCGGCGACGCGCCCGCGCGCGCGGTCGAGGTCGCCGCGGGCCACCTCCCGCGCCTCGACGGGCCCTTCGTCTTCACCGTCGCCCCGCGGCACCGCCGGACCGACGCCGACCTCGCGGACGACGCGCGCGCGCGCCTCGAGGCGCGGTTTCCAACGCTCCGCGCGGCGCGGGCGTCGTGCCTCTGGCTCTTCGCCAACGCCAAGTTCGAGCGCACGGTCGTCGTCGACGTCCGGCCGCGCGCGGAGGGCTAACGCGGGTTTTAGGACGAGGAGCAAGCCTACGGCACGTTGACGACACGTTGGCCAGGAGGCAGCGCGGCCACTGCGAACGATGCGCTTCGCTCTCCTTCTCGCGACCCATGCGGCCTTGTTCGCGGCCGCCTGGGCGCCGCCAAGGCACAATTCGCCGCGCAGACCCGCAGCGCTGCGCGGACCGGCAGCGCTGCGCGCCGCGCCGGACGACCTCAGCGGCCTGCCGCGCGCCGAGCTCGAGGAGCTCGCGCGGCGGCTCACGAGCGAGAACGCGGCGCTGCGGCGGAGCGTGGAGGCGCCGCGGACTTCCTTCTCGCTGGGCGCGGCGTCGCTCTGCGCGGGCTTCGCCTTCGAGTCCTACAACGACCCGGACGGCGCGCGCTGGGAGCGGGGCGCGGACGGGTGCGACGTCGCGTTCCGCGACGCGTCGTTCGTGCGGTCGTGCTACGCGGGCGCGCTCATCGCGCGCGTCGTCGAGGCCCGGGGCCTCGAGGGCCAGCAGGACCTCCAGGAGATCGCCCTGACGGGGTCGGCGAGCGACCCCTACGTGCGCCTCGCGGTCGTCGAGCGGTCGCCCCGGGGCTCGCAGCGCGAACGCGCGTCGAACGCGACGGACGTCGCGCGCACGGAGACGGTCTGGCGCGGCGGCGACAACGCCGTCTGGCCCGACAACTCCCACTGCCTCTACGTGCGCGACCCGGCGGCGGCGAGCCTCGCCGTGCGCGTGACGGAACCCGCGTCCGCTCGAGATCGCGCGCGCGCGGAAACAAACCGCGTAGGTCTACGACGAGGACGTCGCGTCCGACGACGACCTGTTGGGCGTCGCGGAGCTGCCCCTGAGCGACATCCTGAAGGCGGGCGGCGCGGCGACCTTCGAGCTGCCGCTCGCGGTCGACGCCGAGGACCGCGTCGACTTCGACGGCCGCTTCGCGGTCGCGGGCGCGGCCGCGGCGGCCATGGCGGGCGTCGCGACGGGCGGCGTCGCCCTCGCCGCGGCGGCGGCCGCGGCGACGGCGGCGCGCGTGTCCAACGACCGGGGCCGCGGGAGCCTGACCGTCGAGCTCCGCTACGTCGCGTTCGCCGACGACGCGGACGTGGCCGCGCTCGACGAGTCGGGCGCCTTCGAGCGCCTCGAGGCGCCCGCGGGCCCGCGGGGCGCGTCGCCCGAGGCCGGCGTCGACTGGAGCGCCCTCAACGCGGCCGCGGCGCCCGACGCGGGCGACTTCACACCGCTCTGCTTCGTCGACCACCAGAGGACGGGCACGCAGGCGGGCCTCTGGCGCGACGACCGGCGGCGGCGGTTGTTGATCTCCTTCCGGGGCACGTCGGAGCCGCGGGACCTGGTGACGGACGCGTCCGCGCTCATGACGCCGTGGCGCCGCGACGCGGATTTGGCGAGGGACGGCTACGACGACTGCGTCCCGAGCGCCCTCGGCGACGCCCTGGTGCACGCGGGCTTCCGGGGCGCTCTAGATTCCGTCGCGCGGCGCCTGAAGCAGCTCGCGGTCTACGCGGCGACGGACGCGGGCGGCCGCGGCGGCCTGCCCGACGCGTCCGCGCCCGACGCGCTCCGAGGCTGGGAGCTGATCGTGACGGGCCACTCGCTCGGCGGCGCGCTGGCGACCCTGTTCGCCTACGACGTCGCGCCGGGCGTCGACGCGGCCGCGGCGCTGCCCGTGCGCGCGCCCGTGTCGCGGCCGTGGTTCCTGCCGCCCGTCGCGGGCGCGGCGCCCGGCGCGCCGCCGCCGGCCCTCGACCGCCCGAAATTCGCCCGGACGACGCTCATCACCTTCGGGGCGCCGCGCGTGGGGGACGGCGCCTTCGCGGCGACCTTCGACGCGACGGTCGCCGGGCACGGGGCAGGAAAAGAGTGCGAAATTCCCAACTTCAAAGGCTCCTATCTCGATCGTTTTCCACTCGTTTCGGCTGATTCTTGGACGAGCGATCATCTCTCGGAACGGTCTCGAAGCGTGGATGCTTTTTCCGGAACGCGCGCGCGCGGAACACTCACGTTGAAGCGAACTTGAATCACTCTTTTCCTGCCCAGGCCGGGCACCGCGTCGTCAACGGCCAGGACGTCGTCGCGCGGCTGCCGCGCGGCTTCTCCTACGCCCATTGCGGCCGCACGGTCTTCATCTCCGACGACGCGAGCGAGCCCGCGCTCTGGGTCGAGGGGTCCGACGACCGCGCGTGCCCGCTGAAGCGGGGCGACGGCTCGCTCACCGGCGTCGCCGCGTCCGGCGGCTCGTCCGCGCTCGCGGGGCTGCTCGAGGCGGCGGGCGCCGAGGCGTCCCAGGTGAAGCCGTTTGATCTACGGTCCGCGGCGGCGGGCGCCGCGCGCCTCGGCCGCGCGGTCGAGTCCGCCGCGCGGGCCGCGTCCGCGCGCGACGTCGCCGAGGCCGCGGGCCTCGACGGCGGCTTCGTCGACGCGGAGCTCAAGATGGTCCGCGCGATCGCGTCCGGCGACGCCCTCGCCCACCACCTCGAGCCGTCCTACTTCGAGGGCATGAAGCGCGCGCTCGCCGCGGCCGACGGGGCTAAGGCAGCGTGACGGGAAACTTTAGCTTTCCCAGGTCGCGAATGCAAAATGGCCAGGCATGATGTGATGGGGCAGCTCTCCTTTCCTGAATAAATCGCGCCATGTCCTTCTCCGACGCCGAGGGCGACATCGCCGTCGTCGAGTTCACGATTCTCGACGCGCACGACGCGGCGATGGCGCTGTCCCTCGTGCGCGCTGCGCTGGCGCTGACGAAGCACGCGTCGGCCGTCGTCGGCGTCGTCGCCGTCCACGGCGAGTGCGGCGGCACGGCGCTGGCCTACCTCGAAAAGTCCGAGGCCGCCGAGCTCTTCGCGCGGCGCTGGGACGGCGCGGCGCTGCGGTCCGAGCCCGAGCGGGCCGTCGCGACGGCTCGGTGCGCGACGACGTCGCTCGCCGACGAGCTCGCGCGCGTCGCGCGCGGCGGCCTGGCGCCGGCGAGCGTCGCCCTCGCGCCCTGGGAGAACGGCGGCGACGCGCCGGCCTGGCGCCTCGCGCTCCACGTCGCGCTCGCGGTGCGCTCGCGGCTCGACGGCGTCGCCGCCGCCGTCGACCGCGAGGACCGCGAGGCGGCGCTCCACGCGTTCCACGAGCGCGCCCACCCGGCGGCGGGGCGCCGCGGCTGGGACGCGCCGACTCCGGCCAAGTTCGACCGCGAGCGGGAGAAGTGGAGCCTCGACGCCGCGGGCCCGCCGCCGCTCGCCGTCGACGCGAACGGCGCGGGCTGGCAGCACTGCTACGCCGTCGCCAAGGTGCGCCTCTCGCGGAGCGACTGGCTCGCGCTCCACGAGGCGCGGGCGCGGCACGGCGCCGCCGCCGAGGACGGCGAGGATCTGGCGGCGCTGACGGATCCCGCGGGCAACCGGTGGACCGTTTACGCGCAGGCCATCGAGCCGTCGCTCGCGGCCGCGGGCGGCGGCCGGGGCACGGGCGGCCGCGCGGCGGCGCGGGGCGCCGTCGGCGCCGCGGCCGCGCGGGACGCGGCGGCGCCGGGCGCGCGCGAGGCGTCCGCGGGGGGTTCCGCGCTCGCGGTCTTCGTGCGCGCGGACTTTGGCGCGGGCCGGCCCTTCGGCGCGGCCATCGAGGCGAAATTGGGCGTCCACGCCGTGCGCCACGACGGGTCGCGGCTCCACGGCTGCCGCGGCGCGGCCGAGCTGCCCCAGACGCGCGAGCTGCTGCGGCACGAGCTCGCGCCCGCGTCGAACCTCGCCTACGACACGCTCGGCTGCGTCGTCATCGACCACGTCGCGCCCGCGCGCCGGGCCCGCGACGCGGACCAGGAGGCCCTCGACGCCGCGGCCGAGGCCGCGCGCCTCGCGCTCGTCGACGACGCGGCGGCGTTGGTCGCCGCGCGCCGCGGCGGCGGCGGCGGCGACGCGGCGCGGCTCTGGGCGCGGCTCGACGGCCGCGCGGCGGACTGCCGGCGCCTCGCGGCCCTGGCGGCGGCGTCCGCGGCGGACCGCGCGCGCGCCGACGCCGCGCGGCGGAGCTCGCTGAAGGCGCCCTGGGCGACGGCGCTCGACGACGTCTTCGGTCCGGACGGAAGCCTCGAGCTCAACGTCGCGCTCGCGCCGACGCGGCGCATGAAGGGCCTGGACACGTGGCGCGCCGTGCGCTGGCTCGGCGCCCAGCACCCGCGGCGCGTGAGCCTCCAGCCGCCCGTGCTCTTCGAGTACTACGCGGAGGCGCTCGCGTGGGGCGACGCGGGCGCGACGAAGGCCGTCGGCCGCATGCTCCTCGACGGCGGCGAGGGCGAGCCGGGCCGCCACGCCCTGCTCTACGCGCCGCCGCGGGCGCGGGGGCCGGCCTCGGTCTTCTGCGCGCTCTGCCGCGCCATGGAGCGCAGCGGCGACCCGTCGGAGATCGCCGCGTCCGCGGCGGACTACGTCGCGTGCTTCGACTGGGTCCGGTCCGTCTGCGGCCGCGGCGCCTTCGCCGCGGCGCTCGCGGACCGCGGCGACGACGCCTTCGGCGGGGCCGCCGTGCTCCACGCGCTCTGCGCGGCGACGCCGTCGACGGCGAACCGGCGCGCGATCGCGGCGCTGCTGAGGCTGGGCGCGGACCCGCTCGCGGCCGCGGGGCCGCCGGCGGCCTTCGGGAGCGACGCCGACGGCGACGACGACGAGGCGGCCCGCGGCGGGCCCCTCTTCGCGCTGGGCGTCGCCTTCGAGAGCAGCAACGACGGCGCGGCGCACGCGCTCGTCGCGGCCGTCGGCGACGCGCGGCGCCGCGGCGCCGCGGGCGACGGCGGCGTCCTGGGCGCCGTCGTGCGCGACGCGCTGCGCCACGCCTTCACGAACACGGCCATGGGGCTCCACCTCCAGCTCCTGCTGGCGTCGCCGGCGCTCGAGCGGCCGACGCTCGACGCGCTCCGCGACCTCCACATCGACGCCGTCGCGGGCCGCGGCGACGCGCGCCTCGACTTCTACACGCCCGTGATCCGGTTGGTGAAGAACGCCAAGGACATGGGCCTGCGGCCCGTCGAGATCCGGCCCCTGAACTACATCGAGTACGCGCACGCGTCCATGGACGTCGCGCGGCGGCTGCTCCAGCGCGAGGGCCACTCCTTCGCGGCGAGCCGCCAGGACACGGCGAGCCCCGCGGAGCGGCGCAAGATCCTCCAGGCGCGCCTCGCCCTCGAGTCCTTCATCAAGCGCGAGGACCGCGCCGCGCGCGCGGCCGCGGACGACAGCGACGACGACGACTGGGACAGCGACGGCGGCGACGCGCGGCCCGGCGGCGACGCGCCGACGCCCCGGGCCGACGACGGCGACGGCTGGGACGCCGAGCCCGCGCCCAAGAGCGCGACGCGGCCGAAGAAAAC